CGTATAATCGAAAGATGCTGTACAGCCATGATCATCCTATATTAACGAATATCTTTTAAGGTATGATCTTCCCAGGAGATTCTCCCCTGATTGGTCCGCCCTTATGTTTGGATACCAGCTACGAGGCGTGAATGATCGATTATCGATATTTCCCAATTTAAAACTGTGGTAAAAAATCGATTATTCAGGTGTCCGTCGCGAACACCCTGTTTATCGATCCATTTCCGTAGGTTTAAATGGCAGATCAATCGATGTATCGAAAAGCACGCCACGCCACTGTTGGATACCGAGCATCTTCATTATCATGAGTGTTTTATTTTCTCTAGGTTTACATCACGGACCACTTTTCACCTATAGTGAGTAATCAATGAACTGAGTCTCATTCCCAAATTTTTGTGTATAATTTCGAAAGATGATATGACAAAAAGTGGTCATTAAAAGCACAAGTTATGATATTCCCGCAGCCATGTACAAATCCAAGTCAAAAGAAACCCCGATTCTCATAGGCAACGCGTGGTCCCACCGGGGCCTGGTAACATATCCGGAGTGTCACAGTTCCGAAGTATCAAGATAATTAATGGCTCAATGAATTGAAACCTCAAAATCAATTAGGGAACTCCTTTGACAGGCCCGACCACCGTCGAAAGATCACCGCGAGAGCGTGCTTCTAAACGTTGGAAGGCTCATGTTCGACTCCTTTTGCTTGACGCTGTCCATTCCTCCTCCACTCGAACCAGCATGGATGCACTTTGAGTTTCGGACGAACGCCGCACAGTGGAGCGAGTCAGGTCGGACAAAATTTGGAAACTTTAAAAGCTCACAACTCCGTTCATACAAAACTTTGAGGTTTTGAAAGTGGCTCCATTGGTCTCCGCGTGAAATATTCCTTCGGAGACACCCCTTAAAATTTAAAATGAGACCAATTAAACATCAAAATTTGGTATGTTGGTTAAAAATTTCAAGTCCAACCTCTCTGATTGACTCGATCCACTGTGCGCCGTGCTGGGAATGGGGAGGAGAGGAAAAGGTGAACATCATTTTAGAGAAAAGGAGAGAGAACTCATAAATTCATCGACTTTACGGTGACATGATTAGTTACCCTCAAAGTGCGGGCATTTGAATTTACATAGAGGTCACCACATAGATTCAAGCCCGCATGCCGTGCAATATGCATGCACATGCGTGCGCAAGCAAGGGTTAGGCCACTCAAAATCATCCGGGAAATATTGGCTCAGACAATCGGAGAATTTTCTCGAGCCTGCTGTAACGTTCTCCAAGTTTTCATTTTTATGGAGCCGGAAGAAATCATGGGGTGACTGGGATTATTCTAGGGCGACACGTTGCGGTATCACTCAATGGCAGCAGTGGCGAAGCTTGAATAATCGATTATCAACGATATTTTCTCATTTATAATTTTAACTATAAATGTATAGACATATCTCTAAATTAACTAAGACTCTTTAAATTAACTAAGCATATATTATACGCTTCAAAGGTTGAGCTCGACCTGTCAGCTCCTGCCAAGGAGCGGACGAAATATTCTATATATTCTTATAACATTGGTAGAACCCTGAAAAGCTACGTGAATATCATTCTCGATTTTTTTAGAGCTGGTACTTACCTTGGATGTCACCTCCCAGGTAGCGAAGGTTGAAATAAAATACGCTTGCATGCATGGTAAAATATTCTTGCTACTGCATTTAAGTGCTTTGTATGTTGCCTATCTACTAATTGAAGGGGCTCCTCTTATTGGACTTCATTGCAATAAAACTAAAATCAATTTCAATTTTTCTTCGCAGTGCAAATCACCTACCTTTCTGATACATTTTCCTAGCTTTGTGCTATTTGAAAGCGATTGCAGATCAACTACAATTCAACCATGCATAAGGAAGTTCTACCGTAACATCCTCGCTCCATCGTAATTTGGCTGTTATCGTTAGCTGTGACTAAGCCATGCAATCACGTTGAGTTCATAAATTCTTCGATTCTATCGTTTATTTGCCACTGAGGGTGAAGCTAATTTCGAGCCAAGAGAAGCAAAACAAAACAAAATAGAGCAAACTTAAAATAGAATATTTTCCTTTATAAATAGAGGGAATTAAAGCAAGTTGAGAACAAATTTCAGTCGACTTCGGGGAAAGATGAAATCTCTAAATTGAAGATGAGGGAAGGAAGAGGGAATATATGAGCGTAAAAAATACTACTATAGAACGAAGAAGCAAAATACCATGCCTCTGTTCTGTTTGAATCACAAATTATGAGGACGCGTAGCCTTTTGTGGTGGCATTGTCATTTAAAATCTAACTGATGGAGGGGCCTCGTTGAGCTACCTATTAGAAGAAAGCGTTGACAAGCTATGACAAACCGGTCATATGTTTCCCCGGGAGTCAGCCAAAGCTTCTCCGAGATGAATTTTTAAGCATGAAATAGTACAGATAAATTAAAAGAGGTTATCGTTGCGTCCTGCATCTGTCGCGGTTTTACTCTGCACGTAAAACGTGCATTTTATTAGGATGCGACATCGATTGGTCCAACCACGGCGGGACCAAGTTGCCGCGCGAGGTAAAAATAAAAACTACAATGCCATGCTATGGAAAAACGCTGTATAAGCCTCCGGGCGTCGCCAAATTTCCTTTGGTAAAGCACAAATTTTTTGGTAAGCTTAAGAATATTTTTCTTCCAATTTTATAGTAAATTTTGTTCGCAATATCACCTAAGTCTCCTGAAAATTTCAAGGAAAAATATCAAAAGCTTTACTAAAAAATATAGACATTTTTTAAAAAAATAAATTTGGCAACTTTGGAATGTTCGTACGGCGTTTTTCCTTAGCACGGCAGAATAATACCTCACACTGAAGTTTAAAAGGGAGCTACTGTCCGCGTGCCAAACATTTTTTCAGATACATGGATAAGGAAGTATTTTTAAAAGTTCAGGGCGTATGCACAGAAAATCAAAAATAGTATTATTCAAGAGACTCAAAAAAGTTGTCTCTCTTTTTGAATTGAATATTATATCGCCGGTGAAAGTCCGCAACCGTGTATTTCGATTGTAGTGTTTCAAAATCTCCACTCCTAGTTTATTTTTTAAAGGAGAACAAATCGACATCATTCCTTGAGGTTGTGAAAATGTCGCTCATTCGAGTTACGATCCTCGTCTAGATTCTGGAGTCGTGGCGTAATAGTGCAAGCAATCTCAAAGGGTCAGGTCGGTGGGTTTTTAATTGAGTGTCACGCATGATTACCTCAAAACGGTGATAAAACGCAAGTCCCTGTCCGGTTGAATCTTTCTTTGGTGTCATTTAACTGAAGTGCCCGCAACTACAGCCAAATGTCAATCAGTTCTGGTTCAGGATGAAGTGCCCGTGTTTGCTCATGCTTTTTACTGGTTTTAATTAATAAATAAGGTGCTTCTCCTTCCACTGTCTTTGAACGGTCGATTGGTAGCTGCCGCATCTTACTCCTTTGAAGCTGCTCAGCCAGTCCTTTGATGTTGTCCCGAGAGACTTGCATGAATAATTCAGAAAGTAGCGTAATTTCAACTTTTTCTCCTTAGTGGATGTATTTTGAGTTTAATGAGTTTCAACCAATTGATTTCCGTTTCATGATTATACATGTAAGTATGTAAGTTCTGAGGGTTGGTTGTTTATTGGGAGGTTAGTGAAGTTACATAGAAAATTCAGTAAAATCGGACAGCTTCGTTGAAAAATTTCTCTGTAAAAAAATAAAATGGCGGCGGAAATTTTTGACGTTGCGTGCGGCGTTTCTGATTCTTTGGCCGAAAGGTAACGAAATATCCCACTATTTTTAGTAACGGGTTTTTTGGGAAAATATTAGAGGGCAGAACAGGGCCGGATTTACTTACTTGCCGCCCATGGGCCGCCTGCATTTTACCACCCCCTTCCCATTCGTTTTAAAACATCAATAAGAACCATCAAGTGAACGTGCCAGAGGGGGAGGGGTTCATAAGATGCGTATTAACGCGTATTTTTCAATCCGTCTTATTCTGTACCTTCTGCAGGGCCGGATTCGCCTACTTGCCGCTCATGGACCGCCTATATTTTGCCGCCCCCCCCTCCCCTCTCATTCGTTTTGAAACTCGATAAAAACCATCAAATGAACGTGCCAGCGGGGACGGGGTGCATGAGACGCATTTACTCGTGTTGTATACATTTTTTGCGAGAGCCCTGTCAGCACTATACTGTAGCAAAAGTTCACGGAACTCAGTGCGAAAATTATGTTCCGTAAACCTATCTGTGTGGACAAGGCCTTCCATTTGCATGAAATGAACGTAAAAATAATGACAGAACAAACATAAATGTGGTTTAATAATTTTAACTTCCGCCGCTGCTGCACACACTGCGTTTGACGCAATGCATGAAGCATTCATGCAGTCTTGTAGGCGCTATGCGTTTCACGCCGCGCCGTCCACTGCTGACCGCAGCGACCGCACTAGCTGTCTTTGACGCCATGCGTGAAGTATTCATGCAGTTTTGTAGGCGCTAATATGTGTTACATGCCGACCGCCGCGCCGCGCCGAGGGTTTCTCCGTTTCATCTTAAGTTCTCGTCATCATTGCCCTCTGCGCCGCGCCACTCCAGACCAAATTCCGTGTTCGGTTTCTCTCTCAGACTTAACTCGACTAATTAAAGGTGCTGTCTATTGTATCGCAGAGAGACAACTAAATTAGAAATATACTCTCAGGAAATGAGAGATTTTGTCACCTTTTCTCGTTTGTAATTTTTTTTCTGATTCCAATTTTTCTTTATTGCTACATTTAAAAATATTGCAAAATTTGCCGCCATGGGCCGCGGCCCATGTGGTCACCCCTTAAATCCGGCATTGGGCCGGAAAATCACTGGAAATAAATGGAAATCACCGACTTTTCAACCCTCTATTTTTTGGAGTTTTTCGGTAGGATGAGGTTTTAAGAATACTCATGCTACTTGACTGACCCGTTGAATTCAGCTTTTCTAATTTAAATGTAACGTTTTTCTGTTTCAGGATTTCAAGATGTGTCCTACTGCTTGTGACGAGGACACATAAACCACCGGCTGACCATCAAGTCGGCTCTGCATTCCTCATGCCCTACTATGCTCATTGCTATTAATAGTGCTTTCGTTATAGTAAGTTACCCTTATTAATTAACTAATTATCCCCGTCAATTAACTCATTGATACATAAAGTGTGTTTTTTTTTGTTTTTTTTTTGTTTTTTTTTTTTCATCAACATATGTTACAACCACCTGTTTACAAGTGTAAATTAACTTTGTTTTACAAATATAATAACAACCAAATTAACTATTTTTAATTTTCATTTTTAACTTTTGCATGTATAACCTATTCTCGCACAGCACCCAGACTATACATTCATACAGTAAAGTGTATAGATTCTCTTTAATTTAGTATCGTTTCGAAACTGGAATCAATACACCATTTATAATGAAATTCTTTACAGTTGTACTTTCTGACAAATACGGATACCGAGTTGGCACCAAGCAGGATTCGCAAAGTAACTCAAAATGTAATTTGTACGATTTGCGCCCTCACTTTTCAGGGTATACCCTTTAAAATATCCCGTGTTTCGAAAACGTAATATTTTTCTGTTCGAATAAATATATGCGACGGAGCAGGACAAAATCTGCCTCAAAGTTAAAACACATACCTTTCAGTACAGCGAAAACCCCACTTTTTCGGGTCAAGAAATCGATCTTCAATTGGACCTCATTTTGCAATAAGGAATCCTAATTTCTGACTTATGTGTAAAAACACTTATCTGCGTAGGAAAACTAATTGGACCTACGTTGTTTCTCAAGTGAGCTGGAAAAAGTATTCCTTCATTGCAAAACGTAGTCAAATTTTCGATGGCGAACACTAACTAATATTCTCTACGTCGTTTGGTTAAAGCTTTAAGCTATAATTCGCACTACTAATGATGGTATATCGTTCCAAGTTGATCGTTCCTAAGACTGGCAACAGCGCCGAAATACCCTAACAGCGGTTTTCTTGAAGTCCCTGCGTTTTTCATTCTCGAAATTTAAATTGCTGCCGGGAGGTTAATTTTTTAACTTTTTGGATCTTTTTAACGCCAATGATACAGAATTAACCTTCTTAAGCTGCGATATAGTTATCTTTATTTTGTCTCAGTCCCACCTCAAGGCACATTTCACCTTACTGCGTTATGCATATGAAGCCATAATCCTCCGAAGTGACGTTCAATGACAATTCTTGCATCGGAATGTATGTTGTTTGCTTGACGAAACAATATCACTATTGCAGTGCTAGGGCAGAACGCCTTATGAACCACCAGGTGTTGTCAAATTTCCTTCAACAAATAACGAATTTCCAGGAAAATTTGCGAATATTTCTCTTCCGATTTTTCAAAAGATTTTTTTGCGTAATTTGAACTATAAAGTCTGAAAATTTTAAAGAAGAATATTCATAGCTCTCTTCAAAAATAAGTATTTTCAGAGATGAAATTTGGCAGCACTCGAATGCTTATACGGTGTTTCTACTTAGCACGGCAGGCTAGTTCTCAAGATTTCAGGGAAGTTCGTTAAGAACACGAGGAATTTTCAAAAAAACAATAATCTTGAATAGGTTTTTACAGGCCTGATTGTGCACTATATTCATGAGCTTGGATGATGATTAAGGTAATTTGATTGCAAATTGAGCAATCAGTCCACTAGATCTGGCCGATATCAATCAAGTCTCCATTTTTTCAAGCGGAGGTTCGGGACCTCTAACGCGTTTTCCTTAAGCCGCGTTGTAAACGTGTGTCAGTGCGCTATCCTGAAAAGCGTAAAAGAATGACTTCATTTTGAAAGATCTTGCATCATGGAAAAACTGTGGAAAATCCTGAGGTCCATTCAAGGAAACGTCCGTCGAGAAAGTGGGTTAGACTGCGACCGACCGAGGGAGCGTAATGCTAAAAAATGCTGATAATGCTAAGTTATTTCTGTGTCTGTCAGGGGTTTCTTCACTCTGGTTCTTTCAAATCTGTGCAAGTTTAATTGGTGTCGGCTCCAATCACTTTCATTCGGTTTTCAAATCACTATCTGTATTTCAGCGGAGAAATCTTGAATAGGGCTCGGATAATTTCGAAAATTACGCAATTTTTCCATCTCAGCATCAATTTTGTTTGCCTGATTTTTGACAAATTTTGGCAAAACGTAAAGGAAATAAAAACTTTGATTAACAATTTTGGAGGAACTTTTAAAACACCCGAGGAAACATGTTCGAGTATCATATTCTTACTTTTTCTAGAATACAAGTTTTGCCGAAAAAAATTCGGGAAATGTTTCAACCTTGATTTTTCCACACTCAATTCTTACCTCTAAAAATTGATCTCGAATACTTAAATGAATCTGTGAGGATGTACCCGCTTTTGTAACATTACCATGACTTTTCTGCGGGCCTATTTTGAAAATTTCCGAAAACATAAAAATTACGGAAACATAAAATAACACTTTAATTTGATAAACAAATTCGCCTGTAATATTCAGAAAAATATCCTGGAAAATATTCATATTTAGCCGAAACTGACTCCAAGGGACTTCGGCCGATCGTGCGACTCGATCCGATGCTGAACAGGGAAGAAGAGAGGAGAAAAACTGAAACTTGGGTGACCCAGTCGATATTCAATGAAAGTGTGGGAGGTCAAGAATGCACGGAAAAAAGTCTGAGAGTAGGTACCTACCCACAGAAAAACTTTGTCGAAGATTCCAAAAGGCAAGTTAGACGTCTCATGTCTTTCAAGACAACACGTGAATACTCATTAGACCATCGTTACGATTAGGCACTACCGAAAGGAAAATGCATTCTTCGAATGGTTCCATTATGTTTCATCCGAATTATTCACTTAATTTTACAACGACAGTGTCCCCTTGGATCCCGTTAAAGCGCCTACCTACGTGAGTGCACGCATGTCCCAGTGATTGAAAGCGGAGCGTCTTTGATTTTAGTCATCGGGTATTTAACACGGAATCGGGTTTGAAGTGACGCACCACCAAGCTAGCGAGGACCAGTTTTTAATCAGAGGTGTCAAAATGGTGTCAAATAGTGCCTCGTTAAGTAATTTGATTTTATTTCAAACTGGTGGGAAAATCGTTCATTTTTTTAATCATAACGAAGAGCAGATAATGATTGGTTATTGTGTGAACTCGAGAGGAGTGTTTGTGGTTGAGACTCATCAAGATTGATGATTGGAAAAATGAATTTCAAGCCTGCTAACGATTTGTACTACATTTTTATCATTCTTTCGTGGGATGACAGGTTTTCTAGAGGAAGTTCGGCCGTAGGTCAATGGAAATTCAATGTATAATTCTGCTCTTTATTTCGTAGTTAACGAGCATTACCCTGTCTTGAAATTCGCAGTTCCTATGTTCTCAATTCTGCCTAAGCAACATGCCTAATATAAATGGCGAAGTGCGGAGGAATTAATTTTTCTGTACCTTCTGTCATAAGAAAATAAGAACCTAACTTACCTACCTACTTTAGATTATGTAAACTGTATTTTTCAATCCATCTTATTCTGTACCTTCTGCAGGGCCGGATTCACCTACTTGCCGCCCATGGGCCGCCTATATTTTGCCGCCCCCCCCCCTCCCCTCTCATTCGTTTTGAAACTCGATAAAAACCATCAAATGAACGTGCCAGCGGGGGAGGAGTGCATAAGACGCATTTACTCGTGTTGAACACATTTTTTGGGAAAGCCCTGTCAACACTACTAGGAAAAGTTCACGAAACTTAGTGCGAAAGTTATATATGTTCCGTAAACCTATCTCTGTGTGGACAAGGCCTTCCATTTATATGAAATGAACGTAAAAATAATGACAGAACAAACATAAATGTGGTTCAATAATGTTAACTTCCGCCGCCGCGCCACGCAGACCGCACCGTATTTGGCGCAATGCGTGAAGTATTCAGACAGTCTTGTAGGCGCTTATATGTGTTACATGCCGATCGCCGCGCCGTCGGCTTCTCCTTTTCATCTCAAGTCCTCGCTATCATTTCTCTCTAAGTCACGCCGTTCCAGGCCAAATGGCGTGTTCGGTCTCTCTCTTAACTCGACTTATTGAAGGTGCTGTCTCTTGTATCATTGAAAGACGACAAAATTCGATATCACTATACTCTCAGAAAATGAGAGATTTTGTCGCCTTTTCTCGTTGGTAATTTTGTTTTTATAAATCCGATTTTTTATTATACCTACACTTTAAAAAATTGCAAATTTTTTCCGCCCCTTAGATTTGCCGCCATGGGCCGCGGCCCATATGGCCACCCCCTTACTCCGGCCCTGACCTTCTGAAAACCGCAAGCATTTAAAATATAGAGATCGCTCGAGTTTTCTAACAGTGTAATGTGCAAAAGGACAAAAAACAAAAGATTGTCCATGCTTAAGCGAATAAGATTATTGCCACATCTCCCCCAAAAATAGGTGGCGCTACCGACTTGCCTTGACGTGAGCACTAAACATTTTTTTCCAAAGTCATATAAAAGCAACGATTCAAAACATCATTCGGATGGTTAGGAGTATTTTCTCCCAATTGATCCCGTCCCTCCTCCAAGAGCGCCAAATAAATACGATGATTATATTTACATTGAAGTAGTAAAAAATTTGGTGCTTTGTTTCAGGTACTCTCCCTAGCTGCCATGTTTTTGTCCCGTCCGACCCTGCAATCCGTCAATTCCAGTCTCACAGCGCAAGCAGCCCAAAATATATGGCACGCCCTCAGTGATTGGTAGGTATCTGTATCTATTTAAAAGTAACCTATAACATCTAGTGCTATCCGTTGAAAAATATTTATGTCAGAAAAAAAATGGAATCTCTCCTATCTTCGGCTGTGTTGTTCACGTAGCCCTTGCAGCGCCATTAAGAGAAGGACAAACGGAACCAACACAATATGGAAAAAAAGCAAGGGAAAGGACAAACGTTGATGACGGCGCAGAGATACAACTATTCGGGTCTGATGGATGTCCGTGTTGCATTTGCGAAATTGAAGGCGCGGTGGCGTGAGGCGTGAACTCGCAATGCTCCACTCTTAGCCGCTAATGAGGTGTCGCTGGATTCGGGAGAAAATTTCAAAAACGAGGCCCGAATACGTCTCTAACGTATCTCTTATCTTCGGCTTTCGTTGACACTTGATTTTTTTCTTTTCTTTTTAAGTCCGATTCTTTTTCTAGGACGTTTTTGTAGATCTATGCCGAAAGCTCGTATGTACATGTACAAGCAGCATAACTTAGGGCGTAGATATTATGATTTCCAGAGAGCGACAGGAGATTTGAATTATGGGAAACGAAAAAGCACGAACATCAAGACTTACGTCTAAGCTTGGAACTGGACATAATAAACTGAAACTTGGGGGAAACCCGAGGAAAACTAATATTTATACATGAGTCAGCTGGAAAACCAGGTAACTCATTCGGGATCATCCAGTGACAGTATTGCGATTTTTATGAATATGAATAAAGAAGTTATAACTCAAATGTAACATACGGTCACAACTTTTCTGGAAAGGCCCAATGATCCGAAGTCTATTTNGGGGGGGGGGGAGGTCTCCCGTGGAAATCCCTATAGCCACGCCCATTTCTGATAAAAAATCTACACTGTAAAAAAGTTACGTACGGGCTGTATAGACCAGTGGCGTAGCTAGGAATTCTTTAAGGGGGGGGGGGGCCTGACGGTAAATTTACATTATTCTGTGTACGTCCCTAACAATATTTTTATGTCTGCCCTCCAAAAGTAAAAAAATGGTACAATTAACGAGGCCAAGGGGTGGGGGTCCAGGAGGTCTAGACCCTCCCTTGTCTACGCCACTGATATAGACATACCGTCCATTCCGGGTGCAGGAGCTGTAGTTTCGATTGCTCCAGGTGCTACGCTCGGAACTTTCGGCCTCTAAGCCCGGAACGCGGACGGTATGTCTATATAGCCCGTAAGTACGTACTGGTTCCTCGACAGGAGTTTTTTTTCAGGACAAGGATTAGTGTTTTTTGATGTAAATCTAAGGATTGGTGGTGTGATTTCAGGTCGCCGGAGGACCAAGACTCGGAGGAGCCGGGTCGGTGGCGGACGTTCAGGGAAACGCAGCTCCTGCTGAGGCGGGAAGGGGGGGAGGAAGGGCGCTCGGTGGACTGCTGCCCGAGCGTCCTGGAGATGGTCGAGCCGGAGGGCGGCCGGAACCAGGAGGACATGTTCGTCGAGCTCTACCGGGAGGGCGACAACCGGCAGCGCTTCTACGAGCTCTCCTGCCGGGCCGACATCGAGAACAAGCCCTGCCGCTTCATGGACCGCAAGCTCCACAACCAGTCCCGATGCGTCCAGCAGTTCTCCTACACCTACGCCCTCGTCCGCGAGCCGGAGACCCTCCGGCACCACCACCGCCCGCACCACTTCCCCTCGCTACCCTCCTTCCCCTCGGGCGGCAACTGGATGCTCGACTACATTCGGGTCCGCTCCGGCTGCAGCTGCCAGCTCATGCCCAAGGCCAAGAACAAGCGCACGCTCCCGGGCAAAACCAAGAGGGCCAAGCTCAAGAGCAAGTGAGCTCCTCCGCCCCGAGGCGACCGGTCGTCCGCGATCCCGGCACCCGGTCACCAGCCTAGATCTGCTCCTCTGCGTCATGGCAGCGGGAAAGAGGTAGTGACTCTTGATGGAGACTTCTGATGGATGGACGCTGCTGTCCAGCGGGCTGATAGTTGAAATTGATAGACAAAGCTATAGACAAAGAAGACAAAAGATAAATGGAGGGACCTTATTGGTGGAAGCGGGTGGTTGCAATGGACAAAGAAGGTAAATAATAGACTAACCAACAGCAACCCACGAGAGACCCGATAATTAATCCATCATTTTCTCCCTTAATCTACAGGAACCAACCATTTCAACCAATAGGATCGCTCCATACTCCCTATGTCCTCTTAGTCTATCGCTTTGTCTATCAATTTCAACAATCAGCCCGCAGGATCCACGTGTGGATAGAAGATACGCCTACCGAAGCTCCAATAGCATGGACTCAAATGGGAGAGTCTTATTATCGATGAACATCATTTGAACCCATAGGGCACGTATAGTCGTAATGTAAATGGGAGAGCTGGCGCCGTGTTCTGGTCGACAAGTTCCGAGCCCAGTGTGCGTCTAGCTTCGGTCACTTTTTCGATACATTTTCGATCCAAATGGCGATGTAGAACACGTAGTGATTCCTATCCTCTTGTGTACATCAGATGACCGGGTCCTCGTGTGTCGAAAACAATCGATGATGTATCGAAAAAGTGACCCGGCGTCACACAGGAGTCTCGGACTTTAATTGGGGCCTGGAAAATGCTTAAAAGTGGCACCGGCTCCTCCACTTACATTACGACTCTATGTACTTTATGTTTGAACCGTGTTTAGTAGAGAGGAACCAAGCTACTCGGCTATTGCCAAGTTTAACTGGGCACTTTAATTTTTTGCAAGGGAATGTTCGTGTGCATTCCTTTGAAAGTTTTAAGGAATTTGCTTTAATGCAGCAAATTCACTGTTTGCAAAAAAAAATCCGATTACCGTAAAAAATTATCGTATCCATGTAAAAAATTAATTGCCCTGTTAAATTTGGTAATAGGTGATGTGGCTTGGTGCCTTTCTGCTCCAAGCGGTCCATTTAACCAACAAAAATTCATGGTATTATTTACCATAGGCTCCTGTTTTATATCTAGACACCCTTTAAGAAAATTGTATTACTTATTCCCCATTTTTGTTCTTTCTTGACTTGACAGCAATGTTTCTGCAACATTTTCGGCAACTATTGCCGGGCAGGATGTTTAACTTAGAAAAACTTAGAAAAATTTGAGGTTGTAACTGAAACACAATTTCCAAATGACAGTGTAATTTCAATGTCACTGAAATAAAGGTAATACATATTAACGCACTGAAGATAACACTTGGTCGTATTTTTTTTTATTTTTATTTTTTAATACTAGGGATATGATGATCGACTCACATGTAATATTTAACATTGAGTCTGGAAATGACCTCAGTGTATTCTTATTGCCTAGTACCTACCCTCCAATTTTATAGAAAATGGAGGTATTCCTCAAAAAACAAGTTTTTTCATAGAATATTCAATTTTCCGGGACATTAGTGTATAATGAGGAAAATGTAAGGTCGTCTTTGGATTCAGCAGACCAAACGCATAGGCAAGCATGTAGCACAGGCCTAAAAAGATTTTCTTCAGTGTGTTGATGAAGATTTCCTGGTCAAATGGTATTATCCGTCCCTACCCCCCCCCCCCCCCATGTGAAATTAATCTGTATTTGCGGCTGCTAAATTCGAAAGTGGCCTTAGTTTTTCTACATCACCTACAATTTTTTGAAGAATCGAATTTTCAAAAAAACAAAAAAAACAGAAAAAAAACGGTTTTTGCCTCCAGAGCAAGCTGTTTGGGAAGATTTGATTTCTCAAAGAATTGCTGGTTGATGGAAAAAATAAAATTACTTTCGTAAAAGGAGTTTCGAAATGTAATAATAAAATCAATCATGAAGATTACCCATATGAAACTGAATGCCGAGCTGAGTTGGTGATTTTCACAGATTAAGAAGATCGCCCTTTCTAGCTGGATAAACCTACATACAATGATTTTTCTCTAAAATTTTCCTGGTTGATTTGGCAGCTTACTTTACTGAATGGTGTTTAAGATTTTTTCCCTCTAAATTTTTAAATTAAAAAAATGGCCTCCTTTCAATCCTGCCTCAATGAGTTGAAGCAGGAATCTTCAAAATTCCTCTATTCAAACAATGAGGATAGAACTATAATAGTGTTAAGTAAGTAAACCCTACCCTTCCTCTTGAATTGCTCCTGATTAAAAATGTTGGAGATTATTAAGTATGATGATTCACCGACAAAGATCATTTTCTACCTACGCTTATTTACTAAAAAAAAAAATATTTTATCCGCACCAAACCGATAACTTCTTCAAGCTCATAGATAAAAATGTTAGACTATGTACTACTGCTGAAATACTCTAATATAGTTCCTACAACCACCATTACGTAATTGTGCTGTAATCAAACTAAAAACTGAGTAACATTCATAAATACATATTCCAAGCACTTTATATATCCTCCTTCTTATTACTCAATCTGTTATTATTCGTGATGTCTCTAAATTGTATACCTCATAATATGTAAAATCTATGTTAGAAAGCTCTACATTCTAACTTTTTAAATTATTTTGTGAAGAATTCTTTGCAGTCAGTATAATATTTCAAGAGCCATAATGTGTACGCCATATGCAAAATGTTAGTTTGGCTTCTAAAAATTGTAAATGGTAAATAACTCCTGGAAATCGGGCTCCCTAGCCAAGGTGGCGCCTAAAAGTTTGAAGGAAAGGCAGAACACTGCTACTACATACTGTGAATTTATATTCTGAGGTTATTGCACTTCATATTCGGAACCGAATTTCTTTGTTTGAAAAATGTTTTCCATCCTCTCCTTCATCTTCACCCCGATAAAGTCAATCAGCATAATATCCTAATGTGAATTGGTCAATACTCCTAGACAACATCAGCATATCATTTTGATATCATGTTGTCCAGCATGACATAATTGATTTGGCATGATATCATACAGATTCAACATAGTACAATGTTGATCGACTTTACCAGAACATTCCTTACTTACATGCTAGTATGTTGAAGGAGCAGCAAAGTTCTCCAATTTTACATTTATTCTCCAATTTGTTGTCAGTCTCTTTTTCAATATGTAAATACTGTTGATATTTTAGTTAGGATGCCTATTTATTTATTGACTAATTTATTATGTCTTATATTATTTATTCAAAACTGTGTAAAATGCTAATTTGATTTCATAACATAACAATGGCTAAAGTCGGAAAGTTTAGGTACCTTTGTCTGTAGTGCATTACAAAATCTGTGATTGTTTCAATTTTTTTTAAAAAAAAAAAAAAACCAACCAAAATATCTCTTTGAAATTTTCTTAGGATACTTCGCTCAGAATAAATGCAGAAAAGTAGAGAAATTTCAAGAATAACTGGTTCTTTATTTTCTTCCAAAAAAAATATAGCATGGCAGAGATTTGCGTTGTGGATACTCATTTTATCTACTTGAGCCATTGGTATGTTGTAGGAACTTGTAAATTTACCATCATATTTTTATTTTGTTTTATAACTGAATAAGTTACCATAACACAAATTAAATTTGTAGTTATACCTGTAGATATACACGACAATACCAAAAACTATTTATAAGCATAATTTGTTTTCATTTTAAACTCATCATTTGTTGCTATTACTCATTTTCTTCATCATACGTTTTGATTACGCAAAAATTATCAGCATATTTGTTTAGATTCGCTATCTGGCTTGGTCTATCCGACCAGAAGTAATTATCTCTGAAACTTGAAACAATGAGTTGGAATGAAGTTTAAGAGGTTGAAATTATAATTGTACAGACTAATAGGTAATCCAACATGTGCAAGATAATTGCAGTAAAATCCAATTGATATGAAATCGTAAATAAAAAAAAACTCAGATTACAAAAATGTAAGTCTCCACTCATGTTTTACTTTTTAACGTAAAAGTAACGAATAGCTTCTAATGAGAATTTCTGTTAATTTTTTCCCCGCATTCTACAAAAAATCATAGAAAATTGCAAGGAAACATGATGTTTATTTTGCCTGAAGGAAATAAAACATAAGGATATTTTTATACCTTGCAATTGAAATACGCATTTTTTGCACTTGGTCATCTATATAATCTTCTTTTTTGAAGCTCAAACACTCTTTGTCAGCCCCACAAAGGAAAACAGTCTGGTAATATTGTGGCAATATTTTTTTGTTGGTAGTATGGCAGGAATAATCCAGAAATATTGTCCTTAAAATTGTCGTACCTATCCTTGCAAGGAATCTGATCTGGTGCTCAACTCTCTTAATAGCCACAGAGGAGAACAAATTTTAAATTCATAGCAGAAAAGAGAATACTTTTGAAAAATGAATCATGTCCTCTCTTAATACCTTAAAATAATTTAACAAGTCCCTTTTTCCTCCGGATAAAAATTCTGCAGTGCCATAATTAGTTAAACATTAAGTTTAAGAATATTAGGAATCTACCAAGTATGACTTTGTTAAACATGACTTTACCGATAAGATCCCTCTCATTTTATGAATAGCAGATGTAAACAAATTTTCTGTTTATAAATAAATTAGACAGTTATTTTAGCTCTAAAGAATGTCTTCTTAAAGAACCTAATGCATGCTGAGGTGAAAGAGTAGCTAATCAACGTTTTGTTGATAAACCAATTGAACTTGTAGGAAATGACCACATAAAATGAATAAAATTGCAATGTAATTAAACTGCATAACTTTACAGTCCCTGAGGCATTTGCTATGGACAAATTATGCATTGGTTCTTGGGAGTTTCAAATGTGGTTTGTTATTAACAAAAAACTTTTTGACGAGCTCCTTTATTTCAAGATTCAACAGAAAAAAGAAATTTAAAAAAATAAAGCTTGACAAATTAGAAGCTGGTTTGAAGAGATAAACATAGCATAAAGAGTCAAAAGTCAAGTATATGATCCAAGCTGACCTTGTATTATTCACAATTTACATTCCTAGTTACATTGACCATAATAGTAAATTTTAATTTGCAAAGGAGCAAAAAAGGCATTTCATTGTTTCAATAACTATACCAATAAGACAGGAGAGGGGAAAAAAGGATGAAAATAGGACTCAAATTGTAAAGATACTGTGGAGGGAAAGGCAGAAGAAAATCATGTACACACTCAATGAAAAAAGGAGGAAAAATACAACAGCTAACCCAAAGATACTACGAGTTAGCCTGTTTCAAGAAAACTATTAAAGATCAATTGGAATATTGTTTGTTGCTCGTTCCATTAGCTTTCTAGCGAACCCTTATTAAACTCATCTTGTAAAACTTCGCTTTTTCACAGCTCAATTTTGGCGGTGTGTTAAAAAGAAAACTCCCCATGGCTAAAAGATTGCTGACTTAATTTCTAATATTTCAATGGAGTGGATTTAGTAAATGAAAAATGACTCAAACATTCTGGCGGATTTTTTTTACTTGTTGCCATAATATTGCTGTTTAAAAGCGAATTTTTTACCAAAGGCACTCAACAAAGGCTCCAAAAAAAGCTAATGCAATAAACTACAAGCTTTTACATACCGTAATTCGATATCTCTGACAGTTTTCTCTAAACAGGCAAACTCAGTTTTTTTGGGGGCCGCATTTGTCTTTCACTAACGTGTAGAATTACACAATTCATAAAATGTAGGCAAGAAAATACACAGCTGAAATTGTCTTTCAAACAGATTGATATCCGTTCCCTCTTAACTGTGTGAATAACTTAAAATAACAGTAGTTGTTCAGATTGTTGGCTTTAATGAACGGCTGGTCCAGCAGTTACTTACCAATTAAAAAACAAAAATTAAAGAGGTGAAAAAATAGGAAAATAAGAATACGAAAAATTAAAAAGAGACAGATAGAAAAAGGAGAAAAGAGAAAGTGAAATAGTGCCATGATACAGCTGCTCTAGAACATGGTAAAACTTGCTAAGGAAACATATAAGCCAGGTGTGCAAAAAATGCCTGATCTCATAGAAAATTTTCGGCCATGAGGTAATTTTTATGTGATAACCTCTTTTTTCTTCTATTTTTTTCCTTTCGCTAATCATGGTGAAAAAGTGCAATGAGTTGGACATTATTGTGAGACAAACCGTAAATTTTACCATGTGACAAAAATGCCGGACTGCAAGAAGGTGTTGAAACTTTTCATATCCAAAACCAACCTGTTGAAAATTTTAAGATCAATTCTTCAGCCGCAGATCTGAGAATAATTTTTGAATGTAAATTTCTGGTCACCTCATAATGAAGAGGCTCCTTTCAGGGGTTTGGAAAATGTTTGATCCCACCATCTTACAATCGCGGCAAATGTGATGCAAATCTTGGTTTTTGAAGCAACTTTAAAAAAGAGTAATCTTCCTCTCCTCTTTTGGCTCAATACATTTAAGAATGGGACGAATCGCACGTTTTACATTAAAATCGGGTATTTTGCCATATAATTAAACGTAGGGCTGTGAGGCAAATCAAAAAAATGGCTGTGAGGCAAAAATGCCGAATCCCGGCAAACGATCAACGTTTAAAGTAACTTCATTCAAAGTAAAAGGCATTTACACAGAGCATAAAAATTGATGAATTAAACTGATGATAAAAAAAACGCGACACATAAGACCCATATATGGTGATCAGAATTGGAAAAAAAAGGACGGAAAATGATTAAACTGCTAATTAAGTACTCTTGCCTAGAGTATCAGGTTGTGATGACTCACATTCACACTGAAAAAATCAAAATGTAAAACGCACATAATTTCGTCATTTAAGCTGCAAGCCTGCTGTATCAAAAATTTAAGACAGTAATTATATTAACTTAAACTTGTTCCTTTACTTTCCTTTTTTTTATATAAAAAAATGAAAAATCTACCTGCAAAGTCATCGTGAAAGAAATAAGGAATGATTAAGATATGGGTTTCTTTTAATAAGCTACAGGCTTTAATATTACATTTGCTAGTTTTAGTAGCACTTTATCCGCTTTCTCTTTTCTAGGAAGTCGAAAAAGAAAAGTAAAGAAGAGAAAAATCAGGAGAGTGTGATACGAATCAATGGCTGATGAACAGTACAGCCTACCTACAAACCAACGATTTTGCAGAACAAAGAGAAAACTTCACCATTTTTATAATTTAAAGGTTAGATTTGAAATTTTTTTGTACATTACAGCGTCACTGCAGCGCTCTCTTACAGAATTGGAAAAAAACTAAAATCATCGGCCTGGGTATTTTATCTTATAGCATTCAACTACAAAATATGACACTTCCTTAAGAATTATTTCAAAGTAAATTTTTCCAGTTAGAATAAGATCTTCCAACACCTTGCATCTACAGTAAAGTTGAAAAAGATAAGTAGAGCTTTTATAATTTCAAGAAAGATCCAAATAAAGGAAAAATAAAACAAAGGAATTCAGCCAGCTAAAATTTGGCCACAGCTACCCATACCTAATCACAAGCTTAAAACTAATATCACAAACCACAAAACACAACAAAGAGAATTAAAAGAAAGGTGATGACTGAAGACCGAAAAGGCAACAATAAATTGAAGACTAATATCAATTACTTAAGGCATGAAAACTGAGAAAAAATAGAGCTGCTTGAACTGAATCATTTGAACAACTTTAAAGTATTTTAGAGTCAGAAAAATACAATCGCTGTAATATCATTCTTTTGAAAAATCATATTCAAATAAGTAAAGAGCAAAATAAATGCTTCCGAAATTATCTTGGTAAGCTAATGTCACAAGAACCATTCCATCATAAATTAAGTCTGATCACTGATTTAATAACTCTCAAAATTTCTCTCTAAATGCAAAACTTTTCCATCAGTCTTTGAACATCTTTCGTTAAATTGCAAACTGGAGATCAGCCAAGCAAACTTTGAGTCTCTACCCTCAAGTTGTATAGTATGCATACCTATACATTTCTTCAAGTCTTTCTTCGAGGCTTGAGGATGATCAACAGTGATTTCACATATAATCTTTTAATGATTAAATACCTTACGTAAAATTAAAAGAAAAGTCCTACAAGTTCAGTGATGAATTGTAATTGTTTCAGTCCCTACAGGAGACAAGTTGCTTGCTCAATTTTTTATTTTATTTCTTTAATTATTTATTAGTAAGTAAAAGTCAAAGTTTTCAAAAAAACAAATGTCTTTAGAGAATTTTCGTATGTAAAAGAGCAAAGTAAGACTGCAATACTGCATACTTAGCATTTGCGACAAACATTTTTATAATTGAATATCCAATATTTGGGATAAGTTGTTTCTTGCATAGAAACCACAATGATTAATATGTGAATGATCAGCTTACAACAAACATTAGACTATGAATACAACATTAACCAATGATAAAATTCTTGATGATGAAGCAATTTGTCACAATTATGAACAAATATTGGTATAAACATAAATGACGAAATAGATACATAAATTAATGATTAGGAAAACAAGTGTGGATAAATTATTTGGAAATTTTTTACCCAGCATGAAGATCATTTTCTGATGAAAGCTGATTATGATAAGTTTAATTTAGAGATGATTTCAAACCTCGAGCAGAAATGTGCTTCCAGTTAGCCTGAAAGAGAGGAAAGAATAAAATATTACAAACATCCTTCCGTTCTCTGTCGTAAATACTGATTGTATCATAAACGAAGTGTTTTGGCTCGACTTTAGAAGGACTGTTGAGGAAAACACGGGCCAAAGATAAAATTGCAGCCCTAAAATTCAATTTCTATGGGACTATACTGACAAGGCCACAAATTATCAGCTGATTTTGAGTCGGAGACTGCAATGAAAGTGAGTGAGGAATAGGAAGTGCTTTGCAGCTGCAAAATCAATAGATTTGTTTTCAATTTATTCTTGCTGTTAAGCCTGCTGAAAAATCTCATTTTGATGATGGAATTTTTTTGGGGGATTGGAAACCAATTTTTTGTTTACGTAGCAGAAAATATATTCTCTAAGGAAACATATTGTGCATGGTCTAACTCAATGGGAAGAAATAGGCATTTGTTTTCTGTCCTGAACTCAAAATCGTCTCAATGCAATCGATATCATTTTCTCACTAAAATGCTTCAGCATTACACAATATTCTCTTCCAATTGAGGTTCAGGGTGCCAGAGGCGCATTTACTGATTGCAATGTTTCAAAATCTCTGCTAATATTTCATTCATTGTAAGGATAGAGAATGCATGCGTTTCATTGAAATTTTTACTGAATATTTTTCATGATTCAACAACATTCTACAAAACAATTCCAGAAAAAACTCATGTGATATTCTTCCCAAAGACATAAATTAGCGACGGAAATTTTGAAACGCAGCGTTTGAGAGGCGCCTTCTTCACACCCAGTAGTTTAATTGGACTGCATTTTGCAATTAAGAATTAAAATTTCTGGCATAAGTTAGAAACAGCATATGTGCCATGAGTTCCCCTATACAGGTAGATGCTTTTATGGACGAGCCTGAAAGTGTAGCTTTAATTGCTAAATGTGATCCAATTGTGGTACATATTCGCACAACATTCTTTTGTTTTAAAGCAACTAAATTTCTGTTAAAGTGATGATGTAAACGAAAAACTCTTGAAACAAGCCTTTTTAATTTTTACTTTTCAACTCCTACAAACTTCTTCAGAGCTCTCAAACTGTTGGCTGTCTTTAGACATAAGTTTTATTTTCTTCACAAGACATTCTCTTTTACCTCCCTTAATTTTCATTTTAAAGGAATGACTTACACATAATCCTGGTATCCAGAGTGATCCTGCTGGGTTATCAGATGTTATCCCTGATCTTAGATATACACTTTTGGATTCTGTGACAGCCCAAACTTCAGATCGATCGGCAGAAATGTCAATAAAATTTCCATCTGTAAAGCCCAAAAAATTAAGAAATGAAAAGTGGAACGGACTCAACAAATGAAAGAAGTACAATAAATATTTTTGATTATTTTTTTTTTTTTAAAAAAAAGGGGAAAAAAAAAACAGAGTGCAGATGGAAAGAAAGATGGAAGAAAACTAAGTTGTGTTAAGCTTTGACTTCGTAATTTTTCTAAACACAAAATTTATTTTTGCAGTCTTACTTTTTTCCTACGAAAACAAAGCTAAAATCCCGGAGGAGTCAACTGAACGTGCCATTTTCAAATCTCTGTCAAGCAGTTAATTTTTTACTTACACTTAAAGACTATGCAAACTGCATCTTGAGAGCTGCTTTAATTTACTCAAAAAACGAAAAGGGGCGGTACTTTTTTGACAACCTCTGTATTAATGCACACTATTGATCAGCAGAAAAACTCTTTAAAAGCTACTTCGAGAAAGATACATCTTTCACACTTTCAATTTGCACTTGTTGAATGCATGATTCTCACTAGACTAGGTATACTTAGACCAAACAGGAGAGAAGGGAGGTTACATACCCGAAGTATTTTCGACTTGTTGCCAATGAGTGCCTTCTGGAAAAACAGGTGTCACCTCTTTGCGTACATAGATTGAGCCACTAGAATTGAGGACCCAAATTCCACATTTTCCAACTGTAACTTTGGTCAACTGACAACCATTTGGAGCCTCAACCGCTTCCCACATATCTCCTACAATTAAAAGAACAAAAAAGAGGTACTAAATCAGAACTTCTGATAGAAAAAATATATAAACTGATCAAATGTTTAATTCATAAAATTTCTATTGCAATGCCTTAATTGGCTTCCATTGATTGTGGTTCTTCTCAGGAGCAGGAAGTTTAGATTCACTGTTAATGTTAATTACAAACGTTCTTTCTCACATATAGTTGAAAATGAAAGTTTTCAAAACATTCAACATGTTCCGAGTGATATTTTGATGAGAAATGGACTGCATTTGGCAATTAGGAACTACAATTTCTGGCTCAATTTTGAAACAACATACATATGTTACATTAGCTTCACTATAGACATAAGTGTTTTTACAGATGAACCGAATCGTAGTTCCCAATTGCAAAATGTAGTCCAAATCATGTGGTATAGTGCTTGATTTCTTACCCCGCCCACTGGATGATTTACGGATTGTCTCATTTTCATCCTAAAAGTCAGATACAATGCTTTTGCTACTCTGCCATGAGATTTTCTGTATTGCAAAACAGCAGTAATGTTTCTCAAAGAATAAAGAAGTAGCTTCGTAATTTAAATCAATAGCTTACCAATAGGATTAGATGAATTGATCCCAATTCTCCAAAATGCGCAACCACTGCGCCCTATTGCCCACACTTGATTATTGGATCCACAGCTGATATTCGTCAGGGCTTGGTCATTTGGTATGTGCTCCCATGAACTCCCCTGAAATCGGAAAGATTCGTTCATTGACTATTTAGAATATTCTAGTACGCCCTTTTTTGGAAAGAAAGTAAACAGAACTCTTATGAAAAAGTGAGCAAGCATATAAAATTATATTGTCAGAAAAATATTTCTCTTCATGAATGACATTTTCAAGACTGAAACAAATTTGCCAATCTACTTCAGAGCTATTGGCCTTTAAAAAGCAATTTTTTTTGTAGTCTTCTACTTTAATTAAATAGTTGTGATTGTGACTCCTCTTCTTAAAAACAAACTGCTTAGTTCCTTTCAGAAAATATAATTATATTTGAGGGCTTGAGGGTTTAAATGCCAACCCATTCCATTAAAAACGTATAAAGTACATCACAACAAGAAGTAAATTATTTCGTGCGCAATGGATCAGCTGCCCTAGTTATGGAATAAGTTTTGCTAGTCAGATGCATGGTGACCTCTGTGTCATGACAGTATCAATGAATCAAAAACTTAATTTTGGAGCTACGTGGCGTCACACTTTGGCGATCAATACATTGGTAATCCAATCAATCAATATGTTGGTTTTAACCTGTGTTTTATTTTTTCCATTGAAAATGCCCAAGAGTTTGGGAAAAACGTCTCGATTTTTTAACCTGTGGCATTTTTAGCCTTTTTTTCTTCAGGTCGTGATCTTATGCGTTATACATTCGTGAATAAAGGAGTACAGTAATGAATGCTTACCATTGGATTCTTTGGAGAGACATTATGCCTGAATAATGTGTCTCCATATACAGCAACTCCCCAGACGTAGGTGCACTGAGTTCCTTCGTTGTACTAGAAATTTGAACAGATGAAAGGAAAAAACTATGAGGGACTGAAAATTAACTTAGTAGTGGATAGAGTCACTTTTACTGAAATCCTTGTAGCTGCAGACATTGGAAATAACAATTCTACGATTGAAAATAGTTGGGAATAGCATGTTAATGACTGAAATTAGTTATAAAGTACTACAAATATCAAGAAGTATTTTTCTTAGAATTTTGTCTCATCTAGAAATATTTATTGCCAAAGGATGCAAAAAAGGATTGCAAAAAAATTTGAGTCATTAGTAAATTTTTCTATCGATATGTTAAGTTACTTCAAGTTTGCAGGCACTGGGGGCAAAGATTCATAATATCCGATGCAAAGGCCTTTCTAAAATATTATTATTTTTTCAATTTGAAAAATTGAAAAGTATGGATTCAAGTATGAAGAGCAGTTAGTAAAGATTTAAACTACAGATTCATCATGTGGAATGAGCTCTCAGTATAACTTCTGATTATAAAATAAAAACTTACAAATAATGAAACATCTTGTAATTTAGTGTTCCCAACTTCCTGCCAAGGTCCGGTGCTTTGAAGCTTGCATGTTCTGTACCACCGCCTTCTTCGAACTGTGTCCGTTAAACAGTTCTGCGGGTGATAAGTTGCTGGAAAATCGATGGCATACTGCCAGCCATCTTTATCTGTTCCTCCGGGAGTGTCGTAGTCTATGCACCAATCGGTTACCTTAACACATTCAAAATAATCTCTTCAAAACAATGTGAAAATTCAAAAGTTATTGATCACTCAAACATACAAAAAAACCATGCAGTTTGGTTGTTTTTCGATTTACAGCTTTGTCAAGCACAAAAACTAAATGACGGGGAGCAGTCACATTATCACGCACGAATTAAATCTCGCACTGTGATCATCTTTTGATCCGAGATTAACCATTGAACAGAGTGAATAACAAATGCAAAAGCCAACTTTTTGAGAAAAAACTCAGGCAATCACAATTGAGGTTGAATTTTGACAACATATGTGAGCCTCCGGAGAAATGAGATTGTATGCTTGAAAAAAAAATATTATATGGACATGTTAAAACGCCTCTTACAATTATATGAAAGTCCGGCACTTCTGTTCTGCAGGTAAGCAAGTTTGCCCCCAGGTCAGAAACCAACGGCGGTGTAACGATCTTTCAAAGAAACTTGGTAGAATTTCCCATGATAGATTTATATGCCACCTTTGGTCACCAACTTGCATGGTGGATCTGCGCACCTTAAAATTGACCAGAAATAGCTTACCCATTGCCAATGTCTGTTAGGAAGCTTTGTGGTCTCAAATGACTTTTTCTCACATCCAGTTTCATCACTCCACATGGGTCGATCCGTAGGTAAGCCATGAGTTGTATAACCACCGAAAGGATTCCACCGCTGATTCTCGTAAACATAATAATGGTATGTGTCTTCCATGGAATGTATATTGGTGTTTGTTAATTCTAAACCTGAGGGAAAAAAACAATTTGTTCAAGTGATCGAGCTAGCTTTGGTTTAATTTAATGTATCACTTTATAGTATGTATGTAGTTCTTAAAATCTCCAAAAAACATCACTTGGTCCGATCAGTCACTACGTTAGGAAATGTGGTTGCAGGTCAATAGCCTTATCAACTTTCTGAGAACCCAAGTTGAAATAAATAAATGTGATTTGATTATTAACACAAGATTATAAACTTTGAAAATGTAAATTAACAAAAAAATGAGTCGTATCAGAAAATCTAACTTTCAAATTACCTGATTTTAACAAAAAGGACAAATTTGTTTCGGGAGCCTAACGGCTCTTATCTTCAGCGGGTGACAACTGGTCGTCACCCACTGTCCTTTGTGTTAAAATCAGGTAATTTGAAAGTTAGAGTTTTTGATACGACTCATTTTTTGTTAAATAAATGTGATCTCCAAGGTCACATTTTCAGGGGAAGTATGATTAGAATATTTTGCTTTCAGACATTTGAATGGCACAGACTATGACGAGATACTCCTGCTCAACTGAGAAAAGCTCGCAGAAAGCATATTCAGTGTAATTGATGAATATTCCAGCATTATTTTTATCAGAATTCTTCTCTTCGTCATATTTGGCTTGAAAAAATCGATGGTTTGAGGCGATCAGAGTAATTCTGCTTTATTCAGTTTGACCTTAAACTTTCAATTTTTCTGGCAAAAGAACAGGTGACAAGTTGACTGACAAGTTGACTGACAAGTTGACCGACGTACAAAATTAAAGACATGATGGCTTTGATAGTTTCCAATCCAACGTAACGCCTAAACCTGAGGCTCCTGTCTCAGTTTGGTCTCTTCAATTGGGAAGATTTAAACAATTAAATGCATTGAGAGTTAGCCAGTTCATTTACATACCTCCTAGGAAAGCTCCTCCCCAGCCACCAGTGTAAACCCAGGGAACTTTGTTTAAACCAAGACCCCAAGTCACTCCTGAGGCGCAGGTTTCGACCACATCTAGATGACCACCAATTTGACGCCAGTACAGTTCCTCTTGCTCCAATATAGCCTGCAATTTTAAAACCGTAACCTATATTAGAAACAAAATCCATAAAGGGATGCTGCCTTTGACAAGCTTCATTGGCAGTAGGATGACTGAAGTGCCTGGGTGTTTAAACACAAAACATCTGAAGCTCCTGACGTAAACATTTTACAATATCCTGTCTCCTTTTCCTTTTTTTTTGACAGAGGTAGCTTATGTTAAAACTTATAGGCTCTCTGCATTTATGGATTGACATCAATAGTCAGATGAACATCAAACATGAATTTTGTGAAGGATCACAAACAAATCTGAGACGCCAGATAATTTTTAAACATTTTGTACAGTAACTTTACCTAAGATTTTCCGCTTTTAAAAATTCATTTGGTATTTTTTCTTTTTTTTTCTCTTCCACTTTCAGCAGCCAAAGTTTTTCCTGTTACGCTTGAATGGAGTGCTCATTTAGAAATTAATCTTTTCTTTAAATTTATTGCGTTACCATCCATGAATTAGAAGAATGAACATTTTGAAGCACCTTTGCAATAACTGACACAGCTACATAAGAATTTTTAATATTTCGAAGCACTAAACTGATTTCAAGATAAAAGCGAAAACAGAGGAGCAGTCTTGTATAAATCAATAACTAACAGAACAAAGGACGTACACTTGGTGTTGCATATGTGACTTCACTGACAACAACATCCCCGCTGATTCGCAGTTCAGTAATTCCCTCAGGATTCATTCTGTGCTCAAAATAGGTTATTGGCATCTCACATAACAGTATCTAAACATATGGAGAACAAAACATGTAACTGACCAAATTATTGAAGAAAATTAAAGCTAAAATTTTAAACAACAATAAAAAAAAAAAAAAAAAAAAAAAAAAAAAAAAAAAGAGTGTGGTACTCTTTTGGAGAAATATCTGGAAAGTTTTAATTACAATGCTCTCTCTTTGTAACGCATTGTCGACAGATTAAACAATTTTACGTCAAAATAAATGTCTTTATACAGAGAGAGCACTGTACATCCATTAGTAGGAAAAGTCTCCTTCTCACAGAGCTATATACAAACTCTTTTTTTAACGAATTGATAGCAAAACCAGAAACATTTGTATCCTAATATTAATATGTAAAGTAAACAGTTTTTGTTTTATTCTTTTTTGTTATTCCAATATATCGACACACTTTTACTACCAAAAAATTACTGAGATTTCTATGCAAATATCAATTTGTTTTTCTATTGGAAAACATACATAACAAGAGAAGAATATACTTTTTTACAACATAAGAGCTATAATCTCCTTCTGCAGAAGTTTTCAAGAGGAAAGCAAATGATTTTTTTCCAATATTTTATCCTTTAGTCTCATTTTAATCCTTCCATTCAATTTTGAAACAGTTACTTTAGTAAAATATTTGTTGCAAGATGACAAACAAGAAAAATTAGAAATAGATTTACCTTGAATCCTTCTTCCTGACACTCAATTTGCAATTTGAACTCAGCACCAGGTGCAAACAATTGAGGCCCATCCCGATCCTCTTCGCCCCAGTCACCGTTTTTCTTATTATTTCGTACAAATACTCTTTCCCTCAGCCGAGGATTCAGATGCAAAGCTATGTTACGTGATCCACCACACTCAAGATCAATTGCAAACCTGATAACGATTATAAAAGAAAAAATAGTTTTGAGGTTTCCATTTACTTTCATTAAACTCTGCATTTTGCATTAAATCTTAACGACGCATATTTTCATTTCCTTGATGATCAGAATCTTTGTTTACAAGCTCATAGAGAACTTTTACAAAATCTTGTCATATTCTTGCAAAAAATCTAAAACAGTAACCTGGCCGTATATTGGTGCAGGATTCCAAATAGGCGTGCACAAATCAATGCCGAGGTGCAAACTTGCATGCTGTACACATATGCGAGTCTTTTGATTTAAACTTGGTTTGGTCTTAGAGAAACCGAAGCTTCATATCAGATATTGACTGATACAATAAATTTAACACATCTCTTTAAAACTAGCTATGGATTGTTTGAGAGAGGACTTCGTCGATTGGTATTACCTGTTTGGATCATCCTCCAAGGGCATGCCTTCCACGATCAATTTTGAGCCAGGAGGGAAACTGTTCAAGAGTGGTAACGCAAGTGGAACTGATTTTCCTTTGACATCAAATTCTTTATAGAATAAACTATCTTTCAACTGCTTTGACTGGAAAAAATATTGATAGAAATAGGCTTTTAATTACATAATCTGAGACGATTTTAGGCTTTTAACATCCAGTATACAAAAAAAAAAAATCTTCACGTAAATGTAAAAATGAATGAAGAGGTCTGAAAAATACATCAATTTTTTCAAATTTGTCGAATTTCAGACAAAAATCATGTTGTGGTCAGAAAATTACACCACATGCTGGTGCTTTATTTTACTGATAAGTTAAAAATTATCTTGATCCTGCAGAAAAAAAAGAGAGCAATACAAGCCTCCCTTGCGTTCTCTTCCTTAATACTTTACTTTAAAACAGATGCTAGTAATCCTCATACCAGACAGGCATTGCAATTATTCTTTTTGAATTGAGATCGAAAAATTAAAAGTAAGCAAAAAAAAACCGGAAACTAAAAATTCAAACTAGTTCTGCTGACCACTCAGCAAAAATAATTTTTGATGTTTGCATTTAGAAAAGAAAATAAAGAACATACAAATTTTTGACAGACTCAGTAAGAATAGGAGAATAGGGTAAATAAGCGCAAAAACATACATACCTCCAAGGTGATAGGATCAAACACATAGACATCTCCTAGTGCAGTTGTTGCCCAAACGGATGAACAGCTAGGAGAACCCTGAGCATTATGTAGTTGGGCACAGACTGGAAGAAGAATGACATCGTAAGAATTTTACTCTCTTTTTTCCATTTCTTTTTAACAAAATTATACAACACTAGGGGGCTTCACCTCCTGGCCACTCTGCGGTTAAACCCCCCCAGAGGCGTTTCGCGCCTCTAATATGCAGATATCCTGAGATCGTTAGAAGATCATTAAGAGTTAGGGAAAACCCGGTTGGAGACGGGTGGAGGCATGTGAGCGCGCGCGGCAGGAGGGAAGCAGGGAGTGGAGAAGAAACGGTTTGTGACATGATTAGCGTTACACCCTCAGCGTGACACACCCTTATGATTTTATACTATAGAGTAAGATAAGTTGTTCAAATATTTTTCACTGTTAAAAGTATGTAGTCCAGTTTGCAATTGGTGAAAATAAAATGATATAATTTTAGGTTGCAAATCTTTGAATCTTTGAAGAAGATTTTGCATTTGGAATGACCGAGAATGGACTCACTTTACTAATGCAGCGTTACTTACATTAAGTAAGTTACTTGGGCAGACAAGCTTTCCTGATTTTAAAGGAGCAAATATTTTAGATATTGCTTTTTTTGGCCCAAATTTGAAACATAGGTACCTGATGAAAAGTTGGCGAGCCATTCTGCAAATTGAGTGTCACTGGTAAACTGAAGCTGAAGGGGTGAAATTTTCAAACGAGTGGAGTAAATTGTGTGAAGAGCTAAACAAGGGTTTCCTGGACCACTGATATTCATGACACATGTTATTTCATTTAAGCTCAGCTGCGCCTGAAATGCAAACAAAACAAGGAATAAGGAGGAGAATAGGATAAACTATAGAAATTACTTTGTTCAAGTCAACAATACTGTTCCTTTGGGTATTAAATTTTTTCATGAAAAAAGACCCTCAAAAAAGTTAGGATACATTTTTTGCTGGAATCTTTCCATGCTGTCAACTCGTGAATCATTGGATGATGTAAATTTTTCTTGCATTTGAATAAGAAGCTGGATCAACATTTAAACCCTCTGCACTGATGCAAATCCAACATGAATTGGTGACATCCTCAGAATTTGACTCATCTTGCTTCTCATGAAGTGGTACAGACTCCAACCCTCTGTCATCCACCTTAGGATTTATCTCCATTGCTAGTAATGAGCCTGCACTGTTTATTGGATCCCACGCTGGGATGCTGCGTCGAGATTGATCCACCTCATTTCCACTGAAATTTTACAAAAAGACAGTGTGAATAAAAAATTACATGTCTTAACGATCAATTTTAGCTAATGTACCACTTGCGACTACCTTTCCGAAAGAGCGAATACTACTGACTGCCAGTTAGGTACTGTTTGCTGCTACCTAATGACCTTTAATACAGACAAAAAATCTGCTTTTCACAAACAATACAAACCCTTGTGGATGATCTATCTAGCGATAGAATGGAAAAAGTTCCAAAATCCAAAACTCCTGTCTTGCATCCAATCCACTCGAGCTCGATTGTGCAGTCTTCAAAATTCTGCCAGCCTTGCAAACACACTTTACATTTCCCGTTGCTGATCCAAGATTTCCTGAAGAAAAATCAAAATGAAACATAACCCTCATAGCTCTCACAAGAATACTCTGAAAGGAAGAAAAATTGAAAATTGTAGGTACCAAAAATCATTACAAGATGAGACTAAAGAAGAACTGTCACATAGAAGGGATTGAAAAGGTCTCTGGAACCAGAGCCTGAACTTTAGAGCCGACTACCTGGTCCCTTCAAAAGCATATTGTCAGCAAAGAAGAGAATATTTTGTTTAATACGAAGGGAATGAAGTCAAATTAATTTCTGGAATCTCGCTATGATCCAAAGCTTGAAGACTTTGAATCTAGCAAAGAGTACTTTCACCCTGGAATGCACCTTCCACACCATTAACAGTCTTTCACTTCTTCAATTTGTATACCTTAGACTAAGGGCCAAATAACATTTAAGATGTCTTTGATTAATAAGAGTATACCGTTAAAAACTGTTTGCATTGTTATGTTTGGTGTTTGCTTCTTGAGGGAGGGAGGGGGAAGATGGTTGAGTTTATCTTTGAGAGAGCTCGTAGAAAAAACAGGTACAGTGGCTCAAGGTCAAATGTTGCAGGAACGGACCAAAGTCTCTCCTAAAAATTATGTTAACTTATTTTTACACGAAAATAAAAACCAACAAGAATTGGAGTGCTCTGTGCCTACAATTGAGAGCACAAAAATCTCTCCCTGAGGTGAGATAAGTCTGCACTCATTAATATTTCACTACGAACATTGCTACATAGAGAAAAAAAAGGAGGTGTTTGCATCTTGAGGTTTGTTTACCCTGTGACGTAGGTCGGTACAACCTGGCCAGCGAAATCCGGAATTCGAAGTATGAAAAACGAACCATAATGTCCCATTTTTTTGCTTAAATCAACTCATGATATAATTTCAAGCACTTTTTATAGAATGACTTTTTTCCATAAATTACACCATTTCCGAGAAAATTGATGATAAAAGTCGCTGTACCGACCTACGTCATCAAAAAAATCCAAGATGCCCAAAATGCAAACACCTCCTTTTTTTTCTCTATGCCATTGCTAAACTCCTGTTGATTTATTTTCAGATTATAGAAATGTTTAAAATTACTTATAATTTATGATTGTACTGAATATTTATTTCAGAGGATCCTGATAAAATTTCCTATAAAAATAACAAATGTAATTTCATGAAGAGGTAGCCTATGATATAGATAAATCGCCACCTTCTGCCCAAAGTATCACAAGCGCCATTCACTCTTAAATGCTACGTCCCTAGACATCTCAATACGACAAAAGAAATATTAGATGCAACTTTTCAGTCACTCTCTTCATTACTTTTTTTGTGAAAAACTGGACGAGTTTGCAAAGTATCGCAACAAACTGCTTAGGCACAAATGGCGCTTGTAATACCTTGGCCGGAAATTGACAAAATAAGCTGTGCTGGAAAAGAACAAACATTTTTCCAAACTATAAAATCTGATTAAAATAAAAATGAAATATCTTAGAACTCAATCTGAGTTAGTGATCTAACTCAAACAGATGCTTTTAATTTTGGATCAAAAGTTCCGAAAAAACAAGATGATGGAAATTACAGTTAGGATTAGAAAAAAAATACTTGAAAAGAACAAAAATTATTATAAATTTAACTCACGTTTCAACAGCTAACTCATAGTGCTCAAAGTTTTCAGTGGATTTTGAGTGAGCAATTTTAAGGTCATTCAATATTTTTGTTCGCCACGGTGCACTGATGACTTTTGAAGAATCGCCCTCTAGAAACCTGGAAAATAACAAATCAATAAATTGAGGTGTTTCAAAGCAGTTATAAGTTAAGAAGAAATTAATTCACAACTGAATCAAATCTCTTTGCAATAAAATTTGAATTCTTGTTGAAAATAAATGTAATACTTTTCTGAATTAGATGTAAAACAATGGATACACATGTTGTAACCTAACCTTTAGGCAGCAGAAAATGGCCTCAAAATATATTTCTAAAATTTTATCAGATTTCTTTTCCGATAAAAGCAACCTCACTCACACAAAAATGGGTCCTCTATTCACGATTTTAAGGAGCACAGAAATCTGTAACGAGGATACAAGCTTGATATATTAAAAAAAAAAAAAAAAAAAAAAAAAAAAAAAAAAAAAGACAAAAGAAGTATTTGAATAAATACCATGAATATTCAAATTTCACATTAATGTAGACGTACCAGTCTGGTAAGGAAGCTGGATCAACATTTAAACCACCTGCACTGATGCAAATCCAACATGAATTGTTGACATCCTCAGAATTTGAATCATCTTGCTTCTCATGAAGTGGTACGGACTCCAACCCTCTGTCATCCACCTCAGGATTTACCTCCTTTGCTAGTAATGAGCCTGCACTGTTTATTGGACCCCACGCTGGGATGCTGCGTCGAGATTGATCCACCTCATTTCCACTAAAATTTTACAAAAAGACAGTGTGAATTAAAAAAGTAGATGTGTTAACAACCAATGTTTATGTAAAATGTGTAAAACTTGGCATGTTTCTATATTCTGCTGGTGGTATGATTACCTATTGTTGATCTGAAAAAAAAAAAAAAAAAATGATTTTAAAGTCCTGGTAAGTATGGAGAATTTGCATGCAAATTTTTATTGCTTCATCTAAGAGTGCCTAATGAGCTGAGTTCGCAGTATTTTTAATACTTTTTTTCGGACCTGGGAAATTGGAGAAAAGTAGATTTAAAAGTGAGAAAATGTGCCGCCTTATGACGTTATCTGGCGGCATTTTCCATTTAAACACTTGTATTTTAGCAAATTAGATTATTTTGTCATATTTTTTTTACTGACTGTCCAATTTTGAAACCACGGATATCCTCGTCCTCAGTTCTCCTAGTAGTACCTATCATTTTAAAGATGGAATTCACAAAATTTCAGACACCTGCAAATTCTCTATTTTACAGAACAGGCAGAAATACCTCATGGAATTGTACTTTCTGTGGAGTTTTTTTACATTGTTGGGTATTCATTTACAAATACATACCTATCAATGATAGTGCTTTTATTGGTTTCATTTTCATCATCAGATGCATTCAAAGCAGGTGCACTTGGGGTCGAACTAACTCGGTTTTCATTTGATTCCTGAGGACAAAAAAATTTTTTATGCATAAACCCCTACGTTTATGAGAAACAGCAAGAAAGAAGGAGAGAGAAAGTGAAGTTATTTTGAAAAACTATTCAACTATTGAAGCAATGAAGGTGCCCTTAGGTGGGAGATATATCTCAATAGCTTCCTGCGAAGAAAAAGTTGTACGATTTTTAATTATGAGCAAGAGCTGGGTATAAAGCATCTTCCAGAATAGAGACAAAGATGTTGAAATGATGTCATAGCGATGATGCGTGTTTTTGTAAGATGGAAATACTCATTATGTTACTCAAGTATGCTCATATTTCTTTTTTAAATTTCTGACAAATCTATAGTACCTATTCAGTGATTTATATATGCTCGATACTTAAGAGTGTGACAAGCAGGGCCGTGCGCTGGTCCCTAGTCGTTAGTAGGAGAAGAGAAAGGGAAAAAAAACTCATTTAGATCTAGATTTGGTACGAAATGCGTCCGCAGTTGCCTCCCTGATTGGTCATAACTAGTATTGCTCCACATGGCGCACCTCTAATAGGGAAAATTTACTCTGACTGAATTTTTTCCCTCTAAGAAAAGTATCCCTGTTTTACAGATATAAGCACCGTTGCTGAGAAGTCATATAGAATCTAAAGTTTAATTGATAGGGTGACAAAGAGGTTGAAGGAATACTAACCACAGAAGAATGGTTTGCACCATCATCAGATTCGGAATTTGAGCTCGCCACCTGCACAGGCGCACTAAGAGGTTTCCATTTCTTTCCTGTTAACTCTGTTGGAATGATACCAACTCTACAATAAATTTGTCTATCGTCATTTCCAATCGCCCAAACCTAAAAAACAAAAAAGAGTAAAAAAATTGATGCATGGATCACTTTAAAAACCAAACGGACTATGAAGTAGAAAGTAACCATCCATGAAAAAATAGGGTACTGGAAGAGGTCATTGATAGGCTTCAAGCGAATAAAAAGAAAAAAGATTGAGGGTAGATAGTGACATGATTTATTCTCCAACTCCCTGGAAAAGGACGCCAGAGAATATGAAGTTCATCATGTTGATTAGTGAGAGGCACAAAATATCCACTCATCCTCGTCTCATCTGAAAAGTCCTTGAAAATAAGTATGAGGACAACATGAAAAATATGTCAAAAATGGAACTGCAAAACAACCAATCTCGTTTGCAGTGTTTCAAAATCTCCACTCTCGTATTATTTTATCAAAGGATAAAACACCAACGATATTGCTTAAAATTTTCACAGAATATTTTCCATTCAGAGGAGAAAAATTACGAAAGTTTTCGAAAATTGCTGTTAAATATTTTCCTCCTTTAAAAAATAAACAGAAAGTCTGCAGCATGAGACAAGCAAACAGAGATTTGCATTTTTTCAGTTTCACTGTTAACTTTCCTCAGCATTACCTGCTGGGTCAAAGTGCATACTGCAAAGTCATGAGGTTTCAAAGTAAGCAAACCTCTTTGACAAGCCGACTACGGATGATTTTAGCTTTTTGAGGCTCTCAAAAAAAGTATTTCAACAATATGTACCTAAAATGAGATTTCTTTCCACAAAAACGTTATGTTTCTCCCATTGATCATTGTCATTGATTGTAAAATCCTAAAATCAAAAGATTTACCTGATCATTATCTGTGATTGAGACATAAGACATATTTCCAACCATTTCAACCCAGCCAGCACCTCTTGCCAATTCATCGCTCATGTGGCCACCTCGAGCAGAGCGCACACCTTTGCGAAACCACACCCGATTATCATTTGAAACTGCCCAAACAGCGTTTGTTCCCACAGAAACTTGCATGATTTTTAAGTCAGGTTCAGGAGGGCCTACTTCTAACCAGTAGTCTCCTGTAAAAAAAAAGAAAATAAATAAATTCAAAGTTAGAGTTGTAAAAGAGTAGGTCAGTCTACAAGTCATAACATCATATTTTGATAATATCAAATTATAAAAAAATACAAAATAATAATAATAATAATATCTGTCTAAATGCACATTTTATACATCCAATACTGACAGAAATATTGCCGGCCAAAAAACCAGTATATGACATCACCATCCATGGCATTGCAGACCACGACACCTTTCATTTTTGTTTGGTGGATATTGTCTGTATGCTGAACCAGTGCAAGTATGTACTGTACATCAATGATTGATGAACTAAACAAGAGATAACTATGGTACAAGTCAAGGGTGCAGAATCTTCCAAAATTCCACAATTCAAATGGCCACTCATCAGGGCCATTCACCACACAATTAAGTATAATAAATTATTTCAAGATCATTATAACAAGTGCCCTGCTTCTTGGGAGGGAAATTGTGGAGCACCTTGATTTTTGGGGAGGAAACTATTACATTGCTTTAAGTGTTGGAGGTATTTTAAGCGTGCTACTTTTGAGGAGGAAAATGATTAAAAGTGTTGTATTACATGCTGGAAGTCTTTCAGATGCATTATTTTGGGGGAAGGAAACTACTAAACATGTTGTTGTATGTGAAGGCTCAATTATAGCAAAACATCAAATTTTGTGGAAGGCAAATGATAAAAATGGGTAGGCAAAGGACTTTTAGCGCCTCTGCAAAATGCTTGAAAAGGGACAAACTGGGACTTTGACTCATTTGATCATACCTGTTGGGGTATCTTGCGTGATACCGATACGTATTAATGCTCTCCCATTCCAGAGAACTGCCCACAAAAACCCAGACGGTCCACAACTGATTTGACGAACCTCACAACACCTGGGTAATGTGACAGCTGACCATCTGGTGCCCTCCGGCGATTTACTACCTACACCTGCTCGCCACATAACCTGAAATCCAAAGTAAAAAATTTACTACTAGAAATATTTTTCTTGGTCCATTCCTTCATAAGAGATATTAACTTGTCTACTTCTTAGTTTCTGATCACTACTTTGATTGTTTTGCATCCCATTTTAATGATAAATCTGCTTTACTGTTTTGATTTCCATGGCTGAAGTAGAAAAATGCTTAACTCTATTGTAACGTTAGAAGACTTGATTTCTGACCTTTGATTAGATTTTAATTTTTCAAAAGAAAACAAGGCAAACAATCTCCTGGAAATTTTCTGAAACCGTTCTTGAATGAGTAAAGATAATTCAGAGAAAATTTTAATGAAAACTTTTTATTGGTTTTTTAAAAAATGTAAATCGCAGGTCAAGATTTACAATGTCCTAGTCTGGAATACGCATTTTTTATAGGTCAGTTATTTATATTCTTCTCTAGTATAAGTACTCTCAAATCTTTGCATGAACTGACACAAATATATGATGCAAAAACATGAAAAACAACTCTCTGTAAGATTTTACCTAAAGTAAGTAGATTATTACATAGTGAAAATTACTTACTCGTCCTTGTGCAGTCACTGCCCATACTGATATATTTTCTGAGTTGCAGCCTAAAAGTTTATTACCACCAACAGATATACCTATGAATGGCTCCTGAAATTTCAAAGTTAAAAAGATAATGAATATTGCTTAAAACTGATGCTTTCCTTATTGAATGGCTTGAGGGATAAAGGTTCAAGAGACATTTCTGAACAATATGCAATCTTAGTAATTGGAGTAAAACTTATCTCCAGGTCTTCTTTGTGAAGAAATTTAACTGGATGAAAGCTCAATTTTGCGCTTTAATATTAAAGTTCCACATGTATAAAGGCTACATATTGTGTAATTTTTCAATTTTGAACGTATTTCTTTTTTCCTCAAAATCTTGAAAATGTCTTGATACCCATGTAATAGTTTTACCCTCTTACAAAGTCTTGCAGGAAAACTATGTAAAAATTAGATTTATCTGTTTATTTCATCTTGAATTCACTAACCAAGACTTAGAAGCCTCAGAAAACTATTTCTCAGCTTGATCAGGTATACATTTTTGGCTAATTGAGAGCATCAACTGCAAAGAACACATCAAACAATATACAATACCCAGGGTTGCCACAGAATTAAGAAAATTAAATTTCTTCGATTTCCCTGACACATTTCAGTAATGCTCTAACAATTGAAGATATGCCAGAAAGTTAAAAGACATAATTATAAATAGTTTTAAGGCATTTCGATGTTGTAAGTTAGCAATCACATAACTCGGTTTGCGACAGCGCAGACTACCTGTCATACTTTATTTTTTAAACGGAAAACTACTCAACGGCAATTCTTTAAAACTGCCATGATTTTTCTTCTCTCTGCGAAGAAACTCTGCAAAAACTTCAAGGAATGATGTTAATTTGTTCTCCTTTAAAAACATAACATAGAGGCAGAGATTTTCAGACACCGCAAACGCGTTATGTGATTGCCGACTTACACTGTCGATTTGTTCTTTGAAACGTCAAACCCATTATGGAAAGCAAGTAAAATGTGACTTGACAATTCTGCCCTGCCCTTTTTCATCAATTTCCCTGACATTTGCCGGTTTTCCCAGTATTTTTTAACTGTATTGATAGCAACTCCGTGTTCCAGATTAATATTCAAGGTGAGAAATGCTTACAGCACCAGTATAAACAGATACTTCTTTCAGCATATGACAAACTGGACCATTTCTTTGACAAGAGGCAACAATTTATTAGAAAAAAGACGTACAGACCTCAGTGGGATCTTTGTGTAAAGGAGCAATTGCACACCATGAATTCATAGCACTATATCTACGATATCTGAACCATTTTCTCCTTCTGACTGTTGAGGACCATTGCTTGTTAGGAGAGTACATCATAGGAAAGTCAACAGCATACGTCCATCCCTACATAAAATGCTGAATATTAGTTTAGTTAAATAAATGCAAGGCTATACTCACCCAGCAACTGCCAAAACTAATTTTACGAAGACATAGCTGAACATTAATTTTGGCAGTAACATTGCAACAGTATTTTCAAAAACACTTTTTGCTAGACGGATATAATCAAAAGCTACTTTAAAGCAACCAAGTAAAACAGCAGTGTATTGCACAAGGCTTAGAAAATAATTATTCAAAATACCTACTTTGATTTGAAATAACATTAAAAAAAAGGCAACTTAAATTAAAGCAGAATGTTTTTCTAGTCTTTTTTCTTTGTGAGATTATTACCTGCAACCATCACCATAACCATAACCATGCAACATAAACTGTTCTTTCACCCTGTCATTCATAAAGTCATCGAGAGATTTATTGATTTATATCATTAAAGGTATTTCTAGCTGAATTTAGAGATCAAATAAATTATAGTGAATGACAATGTTTTCTTGTTCTTTTAAAGTGTGGTTATTACAATTTCTTGCTTCAATTGGAGCATTTTCACAGAGGTAAGAATGTGAATTATGAAAGACATATCCCATACAAAAATTCTCTTGGTTACTAACATCTTTCTCCAATGGTTGTCCATCCAGATTTAATTCCAACTGCCAGTCGCTTTCCCACTGCCATGCCATTGATGGTAATCGAATTTTATCTAAACTGCGGTCTGTTAAGCCATCTTTACTTGACCAATGACAACGATCTGTCGGAAGGAAGTGAGTGCCAAAACCGCCAATGGGTACCCATCTCTGTGACAAAAATGGAAAAAATCAAGAAATAATCATCAATTAAATCAGTACAGAAAATTAATTTTGGTTAAAAACCACAATTTAGGAGAAAATTTTATCTAGAGAAAATCAGGGATATTTTTGATCCTTTGAAGTATAACTTTTTTCAAAGAAATACTCTTACAATTCTTTATTACAACAGCCACTTCTAGAGTCGTGTCTTTTTGGGTCTAAGATTTCTACCTGTATTGTAAAATACTAAAATTGTAAATAATGAGAAATTAATTGTTTACCTGATTCTCGTAGGCTTCTTCCTTGATTCTAATTGGTACATCCAGTCCATAAACATTCACATAGACTTGCCTGTCTCCTCCAATTGCCCAAAGATAATGTGGTACAGATGATATTTGCTTGAACTCCACACCTAGGTATGGAAATTCTCTCCATTTCGAGCCACTTGTTGATAGCCCAAGTACTCTCCCTTCGCCATTAATTCCAAAAAGCATTGAACTAGGCATTTTTCTATGAACAGAAAAGCATGAGGGTGAATTATTATCCTGGTAGATATTCCTAGGAGTAACTTGATGAGCATAATTACCAGGAGAGTGCTGAAAACTAGAAACACACTGCTCTCTTGTGAAATTTTTAGAGAACCTTTCAATGGTTGAAAATAATGCCAGGCTGCACAAACTGCGCCATCAACTTCTAATCAATCCCACTATTTAACAGGATACATCATTACGCATGCAAATTCCAAGTCTTAGAAGACTATTTCATTGATTGACACATTCGGTTCAACACAATCAACGCTGACAATCAATACTATCTACCATGACCAGCAGCATGTTGTAAGATTTTACTATTGGTAACTGACGTTTGAACTGAGGAGTCAAGAAGAACGTCAAAATTTGAGGACAACTTTTATAAGCAGTAAAGACGGAGGAACAATAAAGTAAAAATGTTTACCAAGCGTAGCAGATGCAGGTGTGTGAGTACTTACAAGTCCTTTAGGAAGGAGATGGAAAAATGTTTATGAACACTTAAATGATTCCTACAGCCAATTAGAAACGGATATACATATACATTAAAAAGCTGCTTGCTGTATGGCAGAAATCTTATCCTTATTCTACATGTTATAATAAAGCTACATACTTCTTATCACCATATGTAAATAATAACAAACCAACTAACCTCAAAAAAGGTGACCAATCAGCTGTTATCGATTCTATAGAGCTGAATTCAAATTAAAACGCGGGAAAAAGCTTAACTTTCTTAATGATAGATTTGGAACCTCATTAAATTACTTCGAGGATGGATCAAAAAAATTTCATCTTGAAATATATGCTAAACACATCAAATATTGTGCGGATAAAAAAGTATTTGTTATAGGCGGAGGTATGGTTATTTCTCAAGGATGACTTTTCAGTGTAGCACCGGTCGCGATAATTAGAGTAATTATTCAATTATTACAGAGAACATAGCACACTTACTAACTTCAGTAAGTCACCATTCCTAGATTGGATACTAACAATAGAATCAAAATTTCTGAATATGAAAGAAAGTGCACCCCTGTAGTCAGTGTGCTCCAGTTATTTTCACAAGGAGAGCTCTAAGTGGACACTCTTCATTCAGCATTTCTCCTCCTTCATTCCTTCGGCTTGGATTTTGTCACGAAGGTTTACATGAACGGATCTGGTAGGCAGAAACTGACAAAAATGTATTTTTCACACGGTGCATCCATGCTACATTTAATTTTCTCTATCAGAGATGATTTAATTGTGTGAGGTGAGATGGTCCTCCATGCCTGAATCTTACATTTCGCTTTAAAACAGCACGATCAAAATGGTCAAATTTGCAAAGTTACTTTCCTGAGGTTATAGACTTACAGCAGCAAGTTAATTTCAAGCTTCTACAAACAAGGAATCTTACTGATCAATGCAGGAAAGAAGCAAGTACTACCAATGAAGCCCAGAACAACCAATGCATAAATTGTTCTTAATTTATTTTTGTAATAAAGGATCATGTTAAAAATATGAGGAAAGAAAAAAAGTTATGACTTGAATTGGTTAAAGGAATGCTGAATAAATAGAAAATACCAACCATTAAAAATTTGAATTAATTGTATTATGAAGTACAGTATTAAAATTGCATTTGGAACTGAATTCTTTGTCACTAGTATAACAAATTCAAAATATGTTGACATAAATGGTAGGTTCACAGGATGAATATACTTAAGAATTAATTGTACATACATGTATTTGATAAAAATCTAAAAAGAATAGTTCAGGTTTCGTTGATAGAGTGTGTAGGGTAATATTTTGCCGTTTGGATGTTATTGAAGAGATCATTTTTTTTTACATACACATTACCAATGGCAAAAAGGAGAAAAAAAGATTGCTGCAGAAAAAAAAACCTTCCCTATCTCAAAATAAGCAAACTCTTTGGAAAAAGACGCATCAGCTGCTGAAAAGAGGAATCAACTTGGGAAGATGGCAGGAGTCATCGCTGCTTCCACTGCCCTTGTGTTATTGAATAGTTATTACACCATTATTGTTTATTTATTCTGTTGACTCTTTGAAAAACTAATGTGGAAATATTGCTTTGACATGAGGTATGAAAGTCAGAGGCATAGTAACAAATTAAAAAATTCCAAACGAGTTTGAAAGGGCACTATTTTTAAACTTCAGCTTCTACATATACTTTTGATAATAATTATTTATAAGGCCATGGATATAAACAGTTGCAAGATACTAAAATTAAAGGATGTAAAGGTTACAAAAAAAAGAGGAAAAAAAAATTGCATAAACCTAACGTCAGTCGAGCAAGTCATAGAATCATGTTTCATCATTTCAGCTAGTAGACCAAAAAAGAGTAGCAGATCAATAACAATCACCAAGCTTTCTAAAGAGCGATAGCTTTGTTAAAATTGGCCATTTCTGATCTTGCATTTGACAGTTCTTGTTACTTTTTGTTAATCTATGAGCAATAATTATCTAAATAGGATTCTCTAATACTTCATAAACACAACTGATCCTATCACCGTAATTTTTTATCAGTAATTTTTAGAGGGTAAATTTTAGCTGAAGTGCCGTTAGTGCACTTGAAGTCTCTAACAGAATCGATCTCCGCACATTTTACAGGTGATCCGCTTCTCCACAAAAATATACAAAATAAATTAAATTAGAAATAATATACACTATAAACAACAAAACATGAAATACAAAATTATTGGTTAAAAAAAAAAAAAAAAAAAAAAAAAAACTTCAGAACAGCGTGTGAAATTTTAAGTTTTATGAAAGATATAACAGCCTCTTCTTCACTCCAGATTAAATTTTAGCAAAATTTTCTTTTTTCAAATTATTTCTATCAAATCTTTAAAGTTTAGGTACATGAGTTAGTTAAAAATTTGGGACATAAACTAGGGAAATAAAAAAATATTTGGGAAGAGATTTTCAGATTGACACATTTTGTTATGACCTGCATTTCTCTTCTCTCATCAATTCTCAAAAGTATTCTGTAGATGTACTGTGCCACGCTCATCAAAGCGAACACTGCTATGACAGAACAAAGGGAGTATAGGGGAATACAAAAATAATCTTGGTATATCAATGGTAATTTGAGTCTCTCGTTGGATTTTGTTACATTCAAAGAAACAGTGCATTGAATGATCTGACTACTGGACTGGAACACTGTTTAAACTTCCCGAGTTGCTTTCACAAAAACTATTGCTTGTAACGGGCATTGATTCTAGGGCATTTGTCTCCATATTCGTTTCCATATTTGTTTCCATGTTTGATTCCATATTTGAAGATGTCTCAACTTGGTTTCCTTCTTGCGACTCTGAATCATCCCAGTTGATTTTGAACCTTGTTACTCGAGGTTCTGATCCTAGGATGTTGCGTACGACCTGAAAAATAATTAAATTAGTAAAAATGGGGAGTGCAGAAAATGCCAAATCTTGCGATCTTAGGATTGTGGCAAACATGAGACGAATCTGAGGTCTCAAAGCGATATCCAAAAGTAATAACTTCTTTCTCCCCCTACAATCTGATTGCGGTGGATGTATGGGTCGTAAGACGGGATGTTGGAGTTTCTTAGCCAACGTGCGTTAGAAATTCAGCTCAAAGCTGATATCTCAATACAGAGGGAAAAAGCTCACACACAAGCACAATTTTCCCTCATAGAGATACGCTGTTTGGTGCACCACTAGTAACAACCATTCAGGAGGGTAACTGCAGACGCGTTTCCGCCTTTTTGGGCAAATCCTCTGTTCAGCGCATCCTCCTGAATTTCTTGCTTCTACAACTTTTTCTGCTAAAATCTTTAAAAAGTGGTAAAAATTGCACATTTTACAGGGATATCAGACATTTTGCCATAAAATAGGAAGTTATGTTGAAGTGCAAATCAGATACATGCAGTGAGGCGAAAACGCTGGATTGCAGTGAATGATCGGAATTCATTGGAAAAATTGCAGCGAGGGAGTTTTCTTGGGACGGGAGAAAGGGAGGGCATATACCACTCATGAAAGTCTGATAATAATGAACGCCCGCATGCATACAAAAATTTCTTGGGGGAGAAGGCTACCCCACAGGAACCTCCCTACCTATGAACATTTTTGCTCATCTGCATCAACAGGGGCTAAGTAAAAATAGTACGTAAGAACTTTCAATGGGCTAGTTGCAAACTTTTGCAGGAGCAAAAATAAGAGTTGTTTTCATCAATGAATGTCTCAAAAATCACAATGAGCACATTGGTAAAGTTTGACATGCACTCATAACTTCACAATCTGCGTAAGAAATTTGCCTTTTTTTGAGCTTCCCCCTTCAAGAACGATACTCTGATACAGGTGAACATTTCGTTAGAGGAGTCAATACATGCAACCCTTTTGCAATAGCAATGGCCAACATAGCCGACGCTTCTGCACACAAATGGCAATCTGGAGCACAAGGTGAACCAAAGCGTATCTTTATAAATGCAGAATCTATCCATCTATCTACCCTCCCAGTTTGAAGAACTGATTGCTTCAGAGAAGTTTCACCTACCTACCAAAATGGTTTTTATTTACTTCCAGAAATTAGTAGATCTGATGACAAAACAAATATGTATTGTTGACACAAAAAATACTAACCTTATCAAATTCAGGCACGGTTGGTGGATTTTCTCGAAGCTCTGGATCATTGTATTCGTTGTTAATAAAATATCCAACCCTGACAAATTCTTGACCTCGGTAAGAACATGTTAGTAATACAACTGTAACTCCTAAAGCATCAGCTATAGGAATCTTGTTAACGTCAGGAGGATCAGCCTAAAAGCAAAACACCAATCACTAAATTATGAAAACCCTTCATTTGTTCCATTTCAATTGGACTACATTTTGCAATTAAGAACTACAAATTCCGGCCCGGTTTAAAAACGACGTGTGTACCATTAGTTTCCCTGTGCACATAAGTGTTTTTTCAGAAGAGCCAGAATATATAGTTCCAAATTGCAAAATGCAGTCCAATTGTAAAATGAGAAAAAAAAGACAAGATACATCAATGAAAATAAATGTTGTATTAAAGATTGTGGACAGTGTATTTTTAGCTTTGAATTAAAGAAGTTGTATGAAATTTCAAAAATTATCTTATTAAAGAGCATACGGTATCTAAACTCTGATGTCATCTACTTCCCTTTGCAATGTAGCAAGATTCTTATTAAATCCATTTTATTGAGCACATGAAAACTTATGATTACAACATAACAAGTTCGAGTTTTTAGCAAAATAATTTGAAAAGACACCAAAACAAAATGAACAAGGATAAAAACAAACTCAGGAATCAGAGCAGTGATGGTCGACCTTCTAACGGAAAAAAAGCTGCTGCACTGGACCCGTGCAGAACGGGAGGGGGAAATTTCAGGCATAGTATTTGTGGACCGCGCTTGCAGATTCATTATGATGATATATGGTAATCAAAGAGAAGAAATATTGGCAATCATAGAAATGTTTACCTGAAATACAAACATATGCCTCCCTTCGGGAATAGGTCCAACATAGATTGTGTCTAATACTTGATCATGTTCTTCACTTTCTGCAGATCCAACATAGATCATCTTCCATTCAAGATCTAAAAGTAAGAAAGAAATCTGATAATGATTGAGGATCTACTTTTTCATTAACAGAACATCAAATAAGTCCTTAAAGTAAGAGGTAGCTATTTTTTTTTAAAAAAAATTAGAAAACAGCACTACAATGGTGCAATGGTTTAATTTTTTGCAAGTTTTAAGATTCTACTGACACAAATAATGTTAAATGATGCACCTGTGACTAACAAGCACCTTTCATAATTGAATCGGCTCATGCAAAAACATCTGATGTCCAATACAGTGTTTCAGAATTTGAGTGGACAATATCACAGTATTCACAGTAATCTTACAGAATACAGACAAAAGTAGTTAACAAGTTAGGAATATGAAATAATGTTGTAAAAAATCCCCCAAGTATAATTAAACGGTTACTATAGAGATCAATCTTATTAATCAGTGCCGTGGGGCAAAAGAAACCACCGCAATTATGAAACCTGTGATGGACAACGGACGTTTTTAATTTTTGTTCAAAATTTTGTTGCAGATAAGTACCGCTGTATGAAAGACTAAAGGTCCAGAACTTCATTTGATTACTGGACACATCTACCCCTGTTATCAATAATACCTTGATTTAAGGTGATACGTAATGGATTCTGGCAAGGTCGAACCAGCGTGCGCTATATCGCAATGACTCAGTCATGAATCTGGGCAGATTTTGAAGTTGAAGCCAGAAAAAGAATGACAGTCCCTTTGCATGAGCTTAAAAAATAATTTTCAGCCAAAAAATTGCAAAATTCAGAAAAATAAAGGCAGGATTCTGTACGGGAAAAAACCTTGCATTCAATACACAGATCGATTACTGTGACGAAAAGAGATTATTTTCCAAGAAATATTCCCGCTTTCATTTCTCTAATTTTGCCAATTCTTTGGTTCAGAATGATTTTTTAGGCTCATACAAAGAAGCTATTGCCTTTTTTAACGCTAAAAAGTTAAAATCTCCGGAATTTTTTGCTTGGTTAATGCTATACATCGCACACCAGTTTGACTACGCCAGAATCGACGATAGATCACCATCAGTAACAGGTGCTGTTGTGACACATTGCACTTTTTCGTAAACAAATAATAATTTCAAAACAGGAAAGAGTGATCAAGTGATAAAGTTTTTTCAATACTCACCTTCTTTTAATTCCTCGATACATTCAAATGTTAGCTCGAATTGGAAAGGGTTTAAAAAGGGTGATGGATTGTCTAGGACTACTACATTTCCAAGCTGAACTTTGGCCATTTTTGCAACCTGAAGAAACAAGAAGAGTCAATAATAGAAAATAACACTCAGATATTTCAATAATAGTATCTGAATAAGCAGACAGTACTTACATTTGAAATTGCTTTACATTCAACCAAAGATATTCAACGATCAGATTGCAAAGTGAAAGTGATGCAACTTATCTTATAGCCAGCAGAAGCCAGAAATCTGTAAATTAAAGTCTTTTAAGGAGGCATCTAACTTTTAAATTCTTCGTAAAAAGAATAACTGCTCGACAATGAGATTCAGTACCAGTTACATACGGTCATAATGTCATATCGCACCCATCTTATCTAGAATGAATGACTTTCAACAGGCCACTTCCTCTCTCAGACATCCAACAAAAAATGCCCCATTTTCCTATGACAAGCCACTGTTGGCTCATCCATCAGCTTATCTGTGCGGACGATAAAGAGAGATAACCTGTTTTCTTCCATGTGCAGCTCCAGCACTTCTACCCCTAAGATTGAGATTAGAGGAATACGCAGTTTTCAAGCTATTACTTTGGAGATTGATGGGTACACTTTCTATACTTGCAGCAAATGAGTAAAATTCCTGGAGGTTGGCATGGATAGTGAGACAAAAGATTGACCGTGCCATCTTTCAGACGGGAAGTTTTAGAGAAACTCTAGGCTTTGTACAGTTCAGCTTAAGATAAGAAGAAGATTTTAATTACTTGAGGATCTAGCCGACTGGCTGGTAAGAGAGTATATACGTTAATATGTGGTTTAATGCAAAGTCACCTCAAAGATTCATCTCAAATATTGGGAAGAGAACTTACCTCGAACAAGAATGTTTGCACTTGGAAGAGGTGGAAGCTAGATAGACAAGCCAACAGGTGAAACTTTTGGAAATGTATGAATTTTAAAAAAGATTGATCAACAAACTGAGCTGAGATTGAGGGTGGCACTAAATTTTTTTCGCGATATTTTAATGACTTGGTCGCAATGTGGCGAAGATAAAAACTGTATAGGTTAGCTTGTTCGGTTCGATGCGATGATCAAAACGGCGGCAGAGAGGTACATTTCCCTCCAAATTCCTTTTGTTTTCCCTATCAGCTGATGAACAGTTGTTGAAAGCAAAAGCGTTTCCACACTCAATCGATTGAGCCATCGTTGAGGTAAACTACTCATCATTTTCCAGACGGAGTAAATCGATGACAAGCGATTCCTGTCATAAATTGATTCCGTTGACTTTATGACAGAACTTCTGTTGACTCAGTCGTTGACTCATTTTACTATGAGTCAGTTTCATAAATCTTCACTCTTTATTTCCAATTAACAGAGATTGCCTGTTATTTTAATGGAAAACCAACGCATATATGCCTAGAGCTGCATAATTAATAAAACCAGTAAAAACACCTACATGCATCAAGAGTCTGGCAATTTTATCATAATTAAAATAAAATCGATAATAGTCGAAAAAAAGTGTGCAACAACATATCTCTATTCACGACATTGCAGACTGTCTACCATATTTCATTTTTTCTTTAAAAAACTGACAAAGTAATTCTTGAAAACTTCTCTGATTTATCTTTTCTGTTGGCAGATTTCTCTGCAAATATTATTATAAGTACAGTTAGCTTGCTTCTGCTCAAAAATAAAATAGGAGCAGAAATTTTGAGACATCGCAATTGAAATATGTTGTTTCGCATTGAGATAAAATACTTCAACTATGCGTACCTGATCGAAAATGCTGAAAAGTCTCCGTGAATAATTAAGGTTTTCAGAATTAACTGAATCATATCATAAATGTAAAAGTAAGATGAAATTTTTGTAATCTCAAGAAAATCTGTTTGCAGTCGAAAATTTTTATAAACTTACGACACCAATGAACTTTCAACTTGAATACCAAGACGGAAAAAAATTCCTATTCTTTTATTTTTTCACAAAGTATACCCCAGAGTGGTAATAGATACTTGAATTTTCTCATAATTCAATTTTTTCAAAAATGTAATACTAACTGACCATCCTCACAGAGGTGAATATTTTTCTCAAAAACATTTGCGATCAAACAGTGGACATGCCTGATTTTTAGTGTTTTTTTTTTCTTTTGTTGTTGAAAACCTAATATGCTGCAGAAAATTGCAGAGGCCTTAAAAAAATGTCGTCCCTGCACCTTCACCTGCATACCCTTCAAATAGCAGCTTTAATTAAAAGACAGAGAAATTAGTATTACTGTTGTCTGAACAACAAATGCGAATGCAAAAATGCTTCAGAGAAGTCTTGGGACTTCTGATAAATAAAGTTATTGAGTTTCTCAAAATTTACAGAGGCTCATAACTATGTTGTAAGAGTGAACACATTGGTCGTTTGCTTCATTTGTATGAGGAAACATATTTTTACAACATCCTGGCTCTTGGCCACAGATGTGGACTCAAATGGGTGATGAAGGAAAAAGAGACAGTTATTCTTTCGGAGGAGACAAAATTCTTGAGAATGAAGAACTGCGAGTATTGAAACAAATAAAAAAATATATATTACTTCTTTAATGTAAAAAAAAAAAGTTGGTAAAATTGTGTGTTACTTTTAAAATACACAGACTAAGTATTTCAAATTTGTAATTTGATTGACTTTACTTACCACTCATTAAAAATTAAACTCAAGATTCCAAATTTATATTAGTTGGTAAAGATCATCAAATATCTTTCACGAGATACCACCACTAATCCAACACAGGTCACAAGATGGAGGTGCTAAAATTACATACAGTTGGTCCGCAAATGATTAGATATACATTGTAGGTCATAAAAAAGCACAGTTTGCTTGGATTTAAACCTTTGTTGAAAAGCTACATTGAACTACTAGACTAGGTTTGAATTTAAGCATTTTGAACTATGTTTTCTTATCAATATTCTACAAAGAACATAAGTAACGCAACGAAAATTGTTGAAAGTAACCACTGACTCTTTCGTTGCATAAATTCAAACTTCCAATTCCTGAAATAACCAAAATCTACTTGAATTAAATCGCACACTAAATATTGCTGTAACAGTTTAAGTGGTAAGAAAATATGGCATGCTTAATATTGGTGCTTCAGCTTGGCCGGAGTTTGTTGTTCACATTTTGAAGAACACAGAGCAGGGAAGAAACTTGGCTTGATTAAGAAGTCTGCCGGGACTATTAAAGTGTGCAATTAGATTTTCGTAGACCCTGGTTTTTCTTGTAGACGGGAACTTCAAATTTTTTGAAACTACTGCTTATTAGTAAAACCATTGATATCTTGACTACAAGTTAATTTGAACTATTATCGTTGCGTGAATCGTTTTCTAGGTAAAATTTTAAAGAGAAGAGATGCTCAAATGTGTACCTTGTCTAGTGATCCATTACAGTGCAGATGGTCCGCAAGTGAATAAACATTCATTTTGAGTCATAAAGAAAGCGCAGTTTGCTCGAATGACGCCTTCATTGAAAAGCTACAATTGAGAGAACTGACCATGGTGATCCAGCAGAAACAGATAGTTTCAAGTTCTTGGAGAGGAGAAGCCTCTTAACAATTTTCTAAGTTGCTAAAAGTCTACAGAGCACTTTTCAGCTTTCTAAGTGTAATCACAATTTTTTCACAGCTTGTTGATAAAGGGGTTTCATCAATATCTCTGGAGAAGGTGCTAAAAAATGGTTTCAGAACTCAGCGAGGGCTTTTCGCATCCGATCAGCATGACTTTTTTTTCCAATCCCAAGTTTCGGCAGGCCTCGATTTAAGCCTTCCAGGAGAGAGCATGCCTTACAAATTTCTTGACTAGATACAAAACCACACCGGGTGCATTTACCTCTTTCAGGCATTTTAACGCTATCTTTGACGGACAATTGTTCACCTGAAAACATAAATGTTTTTCAATTAGGCAATAGCAATCAATATTTTAGACCTTCCTGAGTTTGTCATGAATAAGGTAGCTTTTGGTCTCAGACCTTTTTTTTGCGTACATTAATTTTTCAAAATAAGACGATAGAAATACATTTCTTAAGAACCATTAAAAATGAAGGAAACAAGGGTTATCTCAGTGGAATCAAGAAGCAACATTCTTCACGGTTTTTTCAATTTGTGATAGAAAAAAAACTTTAAACAAAAAAAAAAAAAATTCCTACCCCAATTTTAAAGCAAACCCAAAATAATTGCTACAAGGCAAGAAAGTTGGAAACAGTCAAATCTTGAGAGTAACAACTTATTAGTCTCTCTTTTTTTAACGTTTAACATATGAGCCAAAATCTAAGTCTCGAAAAAAATGGCTAAAAGTATGCCATTCCACATATGTTCAATCTTTTGAGTTTAGAGCCCAATTTCAATAGCTATTCTTCTGAATCCTATTTTTTGGGGCTCAAAAGACTGAGCGCACACTGAATGGCACACTTTCCCCCATCTCTCTCAAAATTTAAAATTTTGCTGCTTGAGCCCTCACAAAAAATAATCATATGAGGGTTGTCCAGAACGTAAGTCCTTTTTTGATTTTACTCGAGAGAAATCAATGCCGAAGTTGTATTTGATGCACTCTCGACCTCGATGAAAAAACTTGTTTTTTAAAAACAGACCGAAGGGACAGTCACAGTTGGGAGACCTATTTCTTCTGACCTCTGCCAGTTGTTTCACAGTCCGTCTATTTAAAACATGCAATGGTGAGACGAGAAAATGATAAGAGATGAAACAATGAGTAGAAAGATTAGATGAAAATTCGTTTTTGTCATTTGGAAGGGTTAAAATCCATAATAATAGTGAGGAGAAATGCATATAAGAATACATGTAATATTTATTTTTGTCAAATCACTTCAGAAACGCCTGATACTATGATGGCTGTACAAACAGGGCTTATGCCTCCCCTAGTCAGAGGAGGAAGCGGAAAAAGTTGAGGACTTCAGAGATTTTTGCGCCCCTGTAATATTGGAAAGAAAAACTTACCAGAATGAAGTATATCTATTATAGCAGTAGGCCTCATCCTTTCAAGATCTTTCAAAAATACTCGCGCATAGCCTCTGTAAGCATTTGGAGCAAAAGTGCATTCTGTGGAAAAGTAGACTAATTTTTTGAAGTATGCATACATAACAATTTCCCTTTCATAAGTGTATTTAAGCGGCTTACATCTTGGAATAGTGCCTTCACTTGTCTGAAAAATTAAAACATACCAAAAAAATATTACTTCTTGTATCTATTAAAAACAAATTATGAGCAAAAAATTTTAAAAGCTTTCCCAAAACCAAAAGAAAAAAATATGCACTAATATTATGCATCCTAGTTTGAGAGAAACTATACTACAACCCTGCAAAAATTCCATGCCACCGTCCTATTAGGCCAACCGGATAAGAGGCATCAATAGCTTCACTTAGAGATGAGCATCTTATCATGTTTAAAAGTATGCAGGAGGCTAATGTTTTGAGCTCCTCAACAGAGATGCAGAAAGTCCGTGGCCTTTTCTTTCAAAAACTACTATTTCCCATACTACAACATACTATTTCCGTATGGGGGACTGTACTCAGTACTGTCACAGGTTTAGCAAGCCTGCGGACCCCAGCTGGTAGCCCCTGCCTTAAAGGGGGGTGGAGGTGGTCACTGGCTTCATGGCGTATGAACCACTCATCAGAGGGGCAGACAGGGCTCATAGCTGTGGTGAAAGCAGCCTGTCTAGGAGACGGTACTCCAAAATCAAACCCTGGTCCTCCAGGTTGGGGGTTGGGGCATCGGGCTAACTCCCCGATACCCGGAAAAAACTTAATGTTAAAAAGCCTAACAAAGATAGCCTCGGTGATAATGGAAAAAAACGGATTTTGCGACACAAACTACGGAAAAGGACAATGGTTTTTGGGACATGGAATGTACAGGGCATTTCTAATAAATTGACAGAGGTTGTATCGGAGGTAAAAAAGTATAATGTAGATGTCGCCGTGTTAACAGAAACGAAAAAGAAAGGCACAGGATCAGAAAACTTAGGATGTTATGATCTGTTCTATAGTGGTGTCAGTAAAGATCAATGCGCACAGCAAGGAGTCGCCATACTTATCCGGAAAAGTTTGCGTCCGTCTATAACTACTTGGGAAGCAGTAGACCAGCGGATCATCAGAATGCATCTTACACTGCATGGTCACAAGGTGGCCCTGTTAGGAGTATATGGTGTGAATGATGATGCTCCCGTCAATCTAAAGGATCAGTTCTTTGAGCAACTCAACGACGAGGTTCTGAGGGTTGGAAGGACAAGGGAGGTCATTATCATGGGAGATTTGAATGGTAGAACCGGACGAAGGAATGGTTCTAAAGTTGTTGGACCTTTCGGTGAAGAGGCGATGAATGACAACGGTGCACGCATCATTGATATGTGTGAACAAAACGAGTTGAAAATACTGAACGGATTCTACTAACATTGAGATATCCATAAGTACACGTGGGTTCAGCAAACTCGGGGGCTGAAGTCAATCATCGACTACGCGGTCACCAGGCAGACGAGTACCATGAAGGTTCAACAAGTAAGAGTTTGCCGGGGGTTCTCCTGTGGTAGTGATCACCATTTTCTCAAGGCGGAGATTGCATTTCCGGTTAAGTATGGGCTGCAGAGGAATACCTTGCAACATCAGAAGTGCCAGCCACAAGGAACGAAGATCGAACAAGTGCACTACAACATCGATAGCTTACAGCATGAAAGCGTGAAAGCGCTCTACAGGAAGCGGCTGGATGAGAAACTGGGAGTAGAAACTTTCGATACTGCAGAAGAGTTGTACCAGTTCATCAAAAGTTGCATACATTCAGCTGCGAAGGAAGCCCTGGGTATGTGTAATGAGAGCAAGGATGTACAGAAACCCTACTGGTGGGACAAAGAGGTAGAGGAGGTAATTGAAGAAAAGCGTAGGAAGTACCATGACTATCTGGCTTCTAGGACTGCAGACACCCGCGGCGCGTATAGGAAAGCCCAGGCGCGGGTTTGTCTTTTAATCACCAGGAAGAAAAACGAGTCTTGGGAGACCAACTGCTCAAGGATTGACACATACCTGGGGGGAAGGAAGAGTGCTGAGAGCTGGAAGCTGATCAAAGGCCTAAGAAGGGACATGAAACGGGACATTATATCTCCGATAACAATCTCACAGCTTGACGAACATTTTAATAAATTATTGACGGAAGGACGACCAGAGTTTCAAACGGGGAATGCTGAAAATATAGTCGAGGATCACTCAATGGAAATTCGAGTTGAGGAGGTGGTCAAAGCAATCAGGGAATTGATGAATGGAAGAGCTCCTGGGCCAGGAAACATTCCAGCCGAGTTAATTAAATGTGGGACTGGCAAGTTGGTTAACCATCTCAGGGATTTGCTGCAGAAGTGCATTGACGGTGATGACATCCCGAAAGAATGGAAAGAGGCCTGGATAACAGCGTCGCATAAAAAAGGAAGGAAGGATGACTGTGGGAACTACAGAGGGTTAGCGGTGACAGGAACGATAAGTAAAATTTATGGAAAAGTGTTGAAAGCGAAGATCGAAGAGGAGTGGACCCCGTTCGAGGCGGAGGAGCAAGCAGGTTTTAGGGCTGGTCGGTCTACCGCTGATCATCTGTTCTGTGTTACCCAGTTAACCGAAAAGAAGAGAATTGTTGGCCAGGAGCTTCATTTAGTGTTTTTGGATATTGAAAAGGCTTATGATAGTATTCCTCTTGTGAAACTCTGGGAAGTCCTAGAAGAAACTGGTTTTAGTAAAGGACTTATTGGGGCAGTCAAGCAGTTTTATCGGGGGGCTTTTGCTAGAATTAAGTGCCAAGGAAGGCTTTCAGACGGTTTTTTTGTCACCAAGGGGCTTAAGCAGGGATGTTGTCTGTCACCGACGCTGTTTAAGATATATCTAGAGCACGTTCTGAAGGAATGGAAAAGAAAGTGTGCCGGCATGGGCGTCCCTCTAAATGACCAAGAAACACTGTTCACGCTATGCTTTGCTGACGACCAGGTAGTCATAAGTCAAGATCACGATGACGCGGAGTATATGACCCGGAAGTTGGTGGAGGAGTACCGCAAATGGGGCCTCGAGGTTAGTGTCCGTAAGACAAAAAAGATGTCAGTCGGAGGTGCTCAGCAAAGCATAGTCCTGGAGGATGGTCAACATATAGAAAGTTGCGAACAATACAAGTACCTGGGGGTGAACCTGACTTCGGATGGGAAGCTGGATCAGGCCATTCGGGACCGTAATCTTCTAGGAAGGAAAGCCATCGCCATGCTTAATGGGATCCTTTGGGACCAAAGGATTTCCAAAGACAACAAGAAGAGGATTTATAACTCGGTTGTCAAGCCTATTATCACCTATGGCAGTGAAGTGTGGCAGTTGAAGAAGCGGACCCAAGAAATGCTCAAGGCGACCGAGATGGATTTCTGGCGAAGATCGGCTGGAATCTCGAGGAGAGAACGTGTCAGGAATGAACGTGTCCGAGAGATAATGGGCGTTGAGGGGACGATTGTGCACGATATCATGACCAAGCAATTGGTATGGTATGGGCATGTGCAGAGAATGGCTGATACCAGGTTGCCGAAGAAGGTGTTGGAGTGGGTCCCCCCAGGTAGGCGACGGAGAGGGCGTCCAGCCAAACGGTGGGTAGAGGGCATCCATGAAGAGATGGAGAGATGCCACCTTCCGGAGGATCTCTACCATGACAGATTCCTGTGGAGAATAGGCGTCGCAGAGCGCCCTAGCACGCCGTAAAAGCGGCTCATACATACATATACTATTTCCCAAATTCTTCTTTTGAATTGCTTTGTATTTACTCATTTACATACATATGTAAAAAAACATGCTTCTTTTATGCTGCCTCAAGCAAGCCTGGCCATATTCAAGTCCTCTTTTTTGTGGTCTCCCTATTTTCAAAACCTGTTTTTGGGATCTGCATGCATGATGATTATAGAAGAAAAAACGTACTTCAACTTACAGTTGTGATGGCAGTGCATCTTTGAAGTCGAGCAATGTCACCACGAAGAATGTTCATCAAAACAGTTTCAGCAATATCATCTGCATTGTGACCAGTTACCAGACAGTCAACTCCCAGGAGGGCAGCGCCTCTGTCTAATGCTTGCCTTCTAAAGACTCCGCAGAATGTACAGTTATTCTTACGACCGATCTGTGAAAAAATAATTTAGTTGAAAGGTAAGCACAGTATAGTCAGAAGAAGTTGAAGGTCAAATAGTGTTTACAAAGTGCTAATAATTCTGATTAATTGAACCTAAATAGGTTTAACCATCACATTGTAATTGAAGAATCACAAGTCTTTTCCAAGTGAATGCGAGCTATGGTGGAAAAATATTGTTACTTGTTGATGAAGTGATCAAAGTTTTTTCAACATCTTGTAGAGAGCCCTCTACTTCAATAAATTCTGTTCATTTTCCTCTTAATTTAACAATTAATTAAGGTACCACTTCTTCTAGTTATTCATTCATACTTGGTCTTTCTTCAGCATCTACAATTTCACTTTTTTTGTCGTAAATTTTTCTTCCTATTGAGCCTTAAAAATATAATTTTTTTGTTCTGCCAGGCTATGCCAACCATTGTTTAGTTATTTTCTTGTTGTTTATTTTATTTGGTATAGTAACATATGCCACACGAGCTCACTTTTGGCATATGGAGCTGTTTTATTGTACTTAAATTTTTGAAATAAATAAATCTTGAAATCTTGAATCTTGAACTTTGTTCCAATAAAATTGCATCAAAGATAATAAAATTTTATGTTAACATTACTAAATACGAAATGACAAAAAATCTGCCACTGACTAAATTTTGATACTATTTAATCTGATATTCCTAACTGCCTGTTGCGCACGATTAACTATTGAAATTGATCTTTCTGTGGACCAGTCTTGAGAAAAGCAGGGTTGAAAAGATGCGTTTTTGGCACATATACACCCAATATATAGTGAAGATGTTGAAACATCTGATAAGTGATCAAGGAGAGTTTTTGTTTTCTTGCAAGCTGGCAAAATAACACAAACGAAAAAAAATTAGATTCCTCCAAATGATAACAATTTGCAGTGCAGTGTCCACACACACAGCAACAGTTCACATCTCTGTTAGGAAGCGCTTGTATTAGGGCCAAAAAATTGACTTTCCAGCCCTACTTTTCTCACAATCAGCAAATAGGAAGTTTGATATTAATAGCTCATCCATGCTCATCAGGAGGACGACAAGGAAAATCATATCAAATAATATCAAAAATAGAGTGCAGAATTTCTTGGTATTAGGTGCATGGTCCTCTACCAGCACTCACTTGTGCTACGATTTGATCCATTGTCCAACCATACAATTCTTCATAAGATAGGATTTTAAGCGGCATCTCATAATCTTCTTGATTTTTTTTGACGGTTTCAAGACTATCATCTCTATACCCTGAAACAGCATAAAGTTAAGTAAAGATGGCAGTTGTAGAGGAAACAAAAGAGAAAGTGATGATGACCAAAATATACATCAGGGGGAGGGGGGGGGGCAAATGGAAAAGTTATGGAGGTACAAACAATTATACATTCCCTGATACTCCAAATTTTTCCAAGTTTTTGGTCACCCTAACGGCAAGGTCCTCGAGGAAGACCAATCTCATGTAATTCTGAAGACTTTCTGAGTGTTGGTTCCTTTTGACTCCTTGAGTACACTCCTTCATCAGCATGACAGCAAAAAAATATGCGACTCAATAAAACAAGAAGTACAGTAGCCACTTAACATAATAAAATAATTCAAAGCTCGATAATATAATTCAACAGTGACGCTGATCAAAAATCACATCAGTTCGAGAAATTCAGTGTATTTTTATCCCCCCCGGTAATTCGAACTTTTCGGTGGGGAAACGGCTTGTGAAAAGCTCTGTGATTCGAAATATCTATGCCGGGCGCTCTAAAATTCGAAGTCTCGAGGTGGTTGTTTTGATGTACATACGTATGTCAATGCCTGACGGACGGAGAACTGAGGAATTTACAATTAAATCCTCTGATTATCTGATTCAAAATATTTGAGTTCGGTTCCACCACTTCGAATTACAGAGCTAATTTGAAACTCTCTTTATTACGAGTTTTTTTGTAACCGCTCTCCATAATTCGAAATCTCGCCGATTCGAAAACTCGTTATTTCGAAGAAAATCCAGGGTCCCTCCAACTTCGAATTATCGAGCGGCTACTGTATCAATGCGTCTACATTTAAGAGGAGGGAAGGAGAAAAGATGAATTGGTTTCATTCTCACAGCATTAAATCATAACTCTATCACACAGAAAATTGAAAAGATGGATCAAGATCAAGATCTTATAATGGAATGAAATGTTTTCTTTGTCTCACCTGTGATTCCTTCATCTATTGATAAAAGGACAAATCTCAATCCATAATCATACTTTTCATTTAATAATTTCAGTACATATGCCAAAACTGTGGAATCCTTTCCACCAGATGCTGCTATGGCGACAAGACTATTCCTCTGGAATAACTTATTTGATATTATTGTGTTGTGAACTTCTGTTTCAAACGCCCAGAAAAAGCACTCCTTACACAAAGCATCTCCTGTTTTTGGTCTCTGAAACAATTACAGAAATTACATTTTTCTCTATGTTGTGCTTGATAACACAGTATACTTTCTACCTGAAGCCAATAGAGAGTTGATCTTAACTTCTGACAGTTGCATAACTTAGTTCAAAATTCTAATGGTAAATTTAAATGGTACAAAAGTAGTCAAAATTAATCTTTCAATTTAGAATATCAGCTCAATTTTGAACTAAGGCTTCATAATAAGAACACTATCAGTTTGCTGTTGAGGAAAGTTGATGGAAGATATCGACGATGAAACTACCAAACCACGTATCTCGTTTGCAGTGTTTAAAAATCTACGCTCACATTTTATTTTTTTGTAAGTAGACCAAATCAATATCATTCCTTGGAATTTTCACGGAATTTTCTCCGCACAAAGAGGAAAAATCACAGAAATTTTCAAGACTGGGTGTTAAGTAGTTTTTCATTTAAAAAATAAAGTATGACAGGAAGTCTGCGATGTCGCAAACCGAGATACGTAGTTTGGTAGTTTCACCGTCGATATATTACTTTTAAGAACAGTATTTAATGGCCACTCTTCCAAATACTTCCCGTCAGCATTATACAACAAAAAAGGGGCTGCTTCGTTCAGCCCTCCGAGAGAAAATTTAGTAATATCCAGGGCCACCTAAAAAGGGCTACAAACGGGTCTTCTGCTGCAGAACCTGCGCCGCAAATGGCTCGAATTGGCTCTACCTACTCATAATGAGGAATTGCAATGTAGCAAAAAGAGATACCTGGTGTCTGAGTTGAGCCCTCTAAATACAGCCCTAAACACCCTCAATCTTGCAGATTAATAAATGCATGATGGAGCGAGATACTTCACGAACGATTGTAGAGAATCCTACTCTGGGATCATCCATCCAACTAAAGGGCGATCAATCATCGCAATATAAATCTACCTTAATTTCTGTGGATTACTTCTCTATTTGAACCAAAGCAGTTTCTACGATGTCATTAACTGCACATTACTCACCTTTAAAACGGCATTAGAACCACAGTTGGCACTGCACAGCACAGGCATTGCTGTCAAAGTTATGTATCCTGCGGAGAACGCTTGTTAGAGTACCATTATTCCTGTTGTGGAACAGTAAAACAAGACTTGCAAAAACAACTTTTACACAGGAAACGAATCACTGAATCATTGTCACGCTGGTATAAAGAACAAAGTATGACATTTTACTGGGAAAACAAAAATCATTCTTGTCATCAAGAAGACTTTTCATACATGCTTGAAAATTTTAAAGAAATGGCATAACATAACCTCACAAAACTCTCACACTAGTTGAGCAACGTTGGACAGCAACATCAATGCAACATCCATCTCCATCAAATGATAAGCGTGTAAACAAAAACACTCATTATCAATCCTTGTTCACCGCTCCTCTAGTAGAATTTTCATTTTCTCAAAGAACTTTAGTTAAGTAAGTGTAAAATTCGTCTCTGATTTCTATGAGCACGCTGTTCGATTAAAATGAATGTTCCTCAAATGCAGCAACCAGGGCCAGGGATGCCCCCTGGTATGCCGCAAGGTCCTGGTCCTGTTCCTCAAGCTCCATCGTTGATGCAGTCCTCCGTATCGCAGCCTCCTGCTCAAGAGAAATTAGATAATATCTCTAAAGTGAAAGTTTTGGTAAATCAGCTCAGGGAGTCCATAAATGTAAGTAATTTTCAAGTTGCAGAATTTGTTATCTATCTGAGGTTTTGGGTGCTAATGAAACGCTAACCCGAAGTTGCACCATTGAAGTTTGCCTGGCTCGTCTATTCTGAGAATGGAACACTCTGGCCCTTAAGTGGTCTGCGTTTTCAGATTCTTTGACTCTGTCTCATGGGCAGCCATTTAACCTGAAGGAGGCTGCGGGAACGTCCTGGCAACTGCCAAAGGGTTTCCAAAGCCTGTGCTAAGTCGAATTGTTATGATTCCTAAAGAACAACAGAGTTGCTGAGCACTGAATTGCTGATGAAATCACTTATTGAGGCTGTTTTGTCCAGTGCCTCTGAGATTAGTGTGCAACAACTGGCGATGCCGCATGTGGGGAATCCCAGCTCTGGGGTTAGCTCAGAAAATATATGTGTCAAATTTATTTCAGAGGAATTGGAAGATTTGTACTTTTTTTAAATTGTCACGGCTTTTGTTATATGATTTACCAAAATTTGCAAAAATAATTATCTATTTAAATGAATAAATCTCATAAAATCACTCGCAGCTGGCAATTCTACCATAAGCTACCATGTTGAAAATAGCTGTTTATCACTCTTGCTTCGAAGAAGTGACTACGAATGCACCTTTCAAAGATTGATGTCAGTGGTACCTCAGTAGATAGTGACTCTATTATACTCTATGTTTTGATCTGAAAGCCAAAGCAAATGAGTATTCGTCATGTATTTTACGTGTTCTAAAAAAGAAGCATTGATATCAATGATATGAATTTACCTGTCAGAGCTTGCTTATCGCATGATAAAACATAGGCATGCTCCTATTCCAGATGAGTAACTGATCCCTCCAAAATCAACAAAATCCATCAATTAGCAGTCATCAGATTAAGTTTTTGCTTGTTTACTCACTATTAATCCCGGTTGACCTGGGTTGACTAAATCGCATTAGTAAGTGCAGAATAAGGCCAAGTCGAACTGAGTAAAGATTATTCAAACCCATGTTTTAGTGCCTGCATACATGCAACTTGGCTTGTAACCTGGGTTTGCATCCCAACCTCAGAGAAATTTACTCTTTTAGGAGTAAACTGTGGCTACCTGGAAACTTGTTCTTAAAATACCCATCAAAGATATTCATCAAGAATTATGTAGCATTTTACTGAATATCTACATATATATTATTTGTTTTGTCCATATCATCATTGCAAAATTACCTGTGAATCCAATTGTTTCTTTTTCAGTCTGTTATTAAACACAGCACATCAACTCTGCAGCACAACATAATGATGGACATGGGAATGTAAGTTTTCTCGTTTTTGTTCTTTCTCTTTTTACCGAATGTATATACCTAAAAAAACACCATAAGTTGTAAATATTTTTGAAAATAGTTTCCTTGATTAGAACTATGGTTCCACTTGCTTCATATTTTCTCCTTGCAAAAATTTCAAAGTTTGACCGAAAAATTTCAAATTTTGACAGAAAAATTTAAAATTTCATTCCTTGTACCTATCACCTTGGTGCGGTCTCTTGTTGAAGACAGGTTAAATTACTATATAACACACAATAAATAGTACAAACTAGAGTAAAAATGGTAATAACAGTATGCCTAAGTGGGATAGTATAATTTTTTCATTGCTTTATAATTTTCTCTCAGAAATCCTAGTTGTTTGTTTAATGCAATAACCATAATAATAACAACCAAGGTACCGTAATTCCTTTTTTGAGGTGTTGAAAATTCCTTTCAAATTTAATATTAATGAAGAAAAACCAACCAATTTTCATCGGTGAAATTTAGGAAATTTGATTCATACTCAGCAAGTAAAAATTTGGATCATATTCCTCCTTTTTACACTGCTAATTTAATCTTTACATTTGCAGAAAAACTATTGATCCACCTGCTGGCCACTTTGATAAAGTATTAGAAGATTTCTACTCTCTTTGTGATCAGACAGAAATCCATCTGGTAAGCACTTGATATTTTAAATTTCATTCATCAGATATACTCCTCTTCATTTGTTACACTTTTCCTAAGTCGGTTAACAGATAACTCTGTTTGTGACGTCACAGACTTCCTGTCATACTTTATTTTTTAAACGGAAAATTACTCAACGGCATCTCAAAACTGCCGTGATTTTTCTTCTCTGTGCGAAGGAATTTCTGCAAAAACTTCAAGGAATGATGCCAATTTTTTCTCCTTCAAAAAAGTAACATAGAGGTGGAGATTTTCAGACTCAGCAAATGAGATATGTGATATTATATGATAGCATATTTTTTCCTTTTTTTAATACATACTTAAATGCAAACATATAGAATCATTCTCAGTTTAGAAATGCAACATTCCTTGTATTATTTAATTTATTTTTTCGGGCTTATTCTGGAATAGAATTAATATTGTTTCAACTTGACATTGCCACAGATAGTGCAAATATTGTCGAATTTATGTTCTCAGGTAACATCCTGTCAAATTAGTGGCCCTGCCATCTGTTTCACTCATTTGTTCTTTTCTTCATTTCTAATTATCAACCTAACTTCACAATGCTCATCTTTTTGTTTTAGAAAACGTCAATTGAATGTTTGAATCAAGGGAATGCAAGCAATAGGTATCTGCCCATGATGGTTGCTTCCACAAGGACTGAGCCGTTACCAAATCAAGATGCCAACACCCTCACCTATCCTCAGTATTTGAATACTGTCAAAACTCAGGTTGCATTCACAAAAGACATTCATGACATCCTTGCGTCCGCTGCACAAAATATTAATGCTACTGAGTGAGCCGTAGTAATCCAAATGCCCTTTTTGTCAAACTCTGATGGGCCTCTATTGACTATACGAATGGAGCTACCACTATTTTTAATATGACAATCTCTTTATCAGACTAAGAAAAAGTTAAAAGCTCAATGATATTTATAGCATTACTGAAAATGTCCATTTGCATCATTGGTCTGACAGGACATGCTGCAAATATTTTCTACTCAAAATTAACTGTTGGCTCAAGTCGAAAAATATGTATTTCCCTCACGACTTTTCCCTGGAAATACACAGTAAAAATGCACTTGCCAAGGAGTCTTTGTAGGTTCATTAAATGAGATTCACTGAGTCAAGTAGGTGCTTGCAAGTCATGTTCATAACGAAGGAAGCACCAACACCCATATTATGTTTTTGAGCCATAGCTTGCAAACTAATATCTGTAAATATATTTTGATACAATGAACCCTTTGAAGACCCACTACATCAAAATGGAATTAAGTAAAAAAAAAAAAAAAAAAAAAAAAAAAAAAAAAAAAAAAAAAAAAAAAAAAAGGGCGTCTACCAAATGATCCAGTTAATTTTAATAATGTCTTAAGAAAGTGTTCTTCGCATGTTTATAATTTGTCTTTTCCCAAAAATATCAGGTACTTACTTATTCCTTAAAGAAAATTTGTTCAAAGTTTTCCTTTTGATACAATTTTTAAGTTTATAATTTTTAAGAAAATAAATTAATTTATTCTAAATTGCATGTTGCATTTTTTAAAATTTAGACTAAGAACACAAGCAATGAAGTGTTCATGTTCCCACTAATACAAGTTAATTCTAAATATCCTCCAAGTTTATTATTGGTACTGAAAATCTGAGATTCATGCATAATATGAGATGCAATTTTTTAGTGCAGGTACTTCTGAAAAAATTCAATTCATCCTCAGCTACTGTTATACTAAGTGTAGAGAATTTGCAGATGCCTAAAATTTGACAAATTTCATTTATAAGTGAAAACTGGCAAACAAAAGCATCTTCAATATCTAAATTGAACAATTATTAAATCTTATCTGCTGAAATGCATGTGTTTTATTGGGAAATACTGCCCTATGACGTCACAAGGATGTATATGTCTTTCCTTTTAAATGTAAATATCTCTTTCTTCACTTTCCCACTTTGGAAAAAAATCATACATAATACTGTGTACTCCTTCTGCATTTTCACAGGAGGCACTAGACGCAATATTTTTAACTACTTCCCTTGTATGTTTTTCATCAACTTTCCTCACAATAAAAGTCTAATTTGTGCCTTGAAAAGTGGCGGATGAGGGCTGGAAGCAGTGGCTGGCCTAAGATATTTTTTAAGGGTTGAAATGCAGGCATATTGGTTCACTTAAAGAACCCTGACTCACTGACGCCAATCAACCTTCAAACAAAAAGTGAAGCCGCTCACCTGACTCTACCTCTCATCTGCCACTTTCTGTCGCATGGACTACAGTCCCAATATTACACCATTTCGTCCCCTAATTAATGATGTTACATTTTAATTTATGGTGATTCAACAGCAACTGCTTTAGAATCATAGTTCCATAAGGCACCCATTTGATCAAAAAAGATTTTAAATATTCTTTATTATTACTGAGAAATTGAGTGCTCTGTCATAGCTGTGGCCTTTCTGAACACTTTCACCAAAAATGATACATAATTAATGGGGGAAAAGGTGGAATTCTTAAAACAGAAAATCACTCCATTCAATAAGCACATATTTTTCATTTTTTCCGAATTTAGTAATTTTCCATACGTAAAATTCTGCTTTTTTCCCTGAAATTTTGGATCATTCATGGTAAAGCTGCTCATGAAATGGCTGATTGCGTTATTTGCGTTATTGTCAAAATTTTCGATCAGGTAGGCTGGTAAGTGCAGTGTATCGAATGATGTTCCGGCCCCAGTAGCTGACTGCTCTTGAATTCCCCAAACACATATTTCGCTCACTAGAGTACAATAATTTTCCCTCACCCACCTCGCTCATGGCGCTCTCATATTTGGGTAGTGCTGTGCGCAATAATAAAAAAGTTTGCAACATGAATGTTTATTTTGTGTATGTACTGCACTACGATAAACGTTCCCTCCAAGTAATTTCGTAAAATTCGAAGCAACCCTCAGTCCTGACTCGGCATACCTCCTTTTAATATATTTTCTGGCATCGCCTGTTTATTATTTAATGTTTCAGATTTTTTCTAGTAAATGAAACTTTCATTTTAGTCAGAGTTTGCGTGGGGTGAGCATTTCTCATGCCAAAAAAAAAAAGAGGATGGTAAAGAGGGGAGGGGAAGGAAGATGCGACGCGACGTTCCCTCCCTCGTCAGGAAATTATTCGAAAAGCGCGCGTTTCCGACGGTTTTGTCATGTGCTGCCCTCTGGTCAACGAGTTCACCCTTGCTGTTTTATTGTTTTGGTTCTCAATACAAAATAAATACAGCTGTTTCGGTATTTATAGTTTTCCGTGGGTTTACGACCTATTAATTTAGATTCGCAGTGATTCCCTTTAGAACATTATTTCTGAGAGTTAATGCTACATAACTTAATCCTTTAATGGCTATCCTAACACCTTCCCGTGTTTTTTAATACTCCAATCGTCTGACCGCCATTGAAGTTCGGTTGTTATTATCAGTGAATTCTGCAGTTTGACTTGTCGTTTCATTTTCAGTAATCGCAGTTTAGTTTTGATTAACAATTTTATCGTATTATAGTAGTAGCGAATCGCGCCTTGTATAGAACTCATACTCCCGCAGGCAACCGTTCTCCTGTTTCTACTTTTGTTTTTACTGAGTGGCAGTTTTGCACCTTCGATTTCAATACCGACCTCATGACACAGTTTCGTTGTTGATCTGGATGGATAGCTCCAAATGAGAGATACTTGAATCAGGTAAGTTTTCTACGGTATTTAAATCCATCCTGCTAATCTCATAATCCTTGTTATGGTTTCCAAGCCCAACCAGCAACTTGCACCCTGAAATAGTGTTTGTATTTGTAACCTCACTTTAGCCTTTCATGGTTATAGTTATGTCAAAGGCTTTCACTCTCTAAGACTCCGTACTTACTTACCCCTGCTCAACGAGGAAAGAAAGTCTCCGAACTTTAGTTGATCATAAACTTATCGTAGGCTGTTCTGGTGTTCGCTGAGTATTCTGTCAGTATTTCATATTGCAGATGGGACTTCAATTGAACTTGGTTATCGTATAATTTAAAGAAAGTAACCGTGGCTCACCACGGGCTTTTTGATTTAGGTCTCAATCTGTTGTTGGGTATGAAAATTATTGGTTATTAAAATATATCGGTAAGCTCATGTATTATTATTCGAATGGGCCTCTACAACATTTTCAACCATGCGTGCTTGATCTGAGGTTATTTGCAGCTATGGAATAAGTACCTAGTTATTTGATACAATTTGTAATCACCTGCACTCAACATTTCAAATCTACTGGTTCTCTTAAATATCTATTGATAGCATGTATCCTTGGAGCTTTGACCCATTACATGCTGTCTCACCATTTTAATTACGTCAGCAGAGTTGGAATAGCTTGGCGCGGCTTTCATCTGAAAATTTCAGCTTCACATGGCCACAATAAAAACACTCTCAGATTTTAAAGTTACACATTTTTTATTTTCATTATATCGCCAGTAGCTATAATCCACAACTTGGAAGAGGAATAGGGAAACACCTTTTGACAAGCTCTTTTTCACACCACCATTGGAGAGCCGGATCAGACAGAGGATGCTGTACTGCTCTCGGAGGTAGAGCGAAGAGAGCCTTCGGTGGGTTCTTTTTAATGTGGTATCGTCAGGAGCCCTAATCCATGGGGGGAGAGAAAACAAAAAATAAAACACTTACCTATGCTGGCGCAACTCCATCTGTCACTTCTCTATATCATTTTTGATACTGCTGAAAAGCATCGTGATTGTTCAGTCAGTTAATGTTTAAGCCAACAATGAAATTTTGTGTCAGCGTCTTTTTTGTCGCAATTCGAGTGAGAATTTTTTTAATTTCGTCAAATGGAGGTACTGAAAAAGTTCTGAATTTATCTGTCAAGAAGGTACTGAATTTCTTCGAAATATACCGAGAAAGTATTGCAAAAGTACTTATTTTTGGTCAGCCTGTCATAGCAGACACCTTGTGCATCCGAAATTCATTAGTGACATCAGAAAAATGAAAATCTCTGCTCAAAATGAGGTTTCGAGAGGTTTCACAAGGGTCTGCTAAATACCAATTTTAGACGCCATAAAACCAAGTTATTGGTCAAGTCCAAGATCCTCCCAAAACCCCAGTTTTAACTGAAATTTCGATTTTTCTAATGTCACTATCTAGTGTGTTAAAATCATGAATGCCCATCCATTTTTGCAAGATGCGGTGCAATACCGTTGCCAAAATTCAGAAAAATAGATTCATTTCCCTAATATTTGAAGTGGCTGTAGCCGCTTCAAGAAGCAGTCTTGGAACGAATGCATGAAAACAAAAGTCCTATTTTGACCCACAGAACAAGCTTTTGTAGCCTGGCGGCTGGACCGTGGATTACCCTATGTAGCCACCCCCTCCATAAGCCTCCCCCTTTACTTACAGAACATTTCCAAGACTAAAATATTAAGATATTTTTTTGAGCAAAGTCCAAAAGGGTGGTCTACCCCCTATTCTGCTGTGCCAAGGAAAAATGCCGTACGAGTCCTTAGACGTTGCCGAATTTCCTCTGACAAATCATGAATATCCGGGAAAAGTTGTGAATATTTTTCAGAAAATTTTGTTCCCAATTTGATCTGAAGTTTCTGAAAATACCGATGAAAAATATTCATAACTCTCCTCAAAAATGAACATTTTATCGGAGGAAATTTGGCAACTCTCGAATGTCAATACGGCGTTTTTTCATAGCACGGTAGCATTCCTCCCTGTAGGCAATCCTAGGGTTCCCCATGGGCGACGTCCGTCAAGAGTATTGAGTTCACATTTTTAAGTATATACTCTTTAATATGTGTTGGAAACGAGGGGGTTAGAAAGAAATGGAGATAGAAAATATCATTATTTTTCAGTGAAAAGTGCGTAGTCTATCGATCGTTTTCAACCTTGGTTCCTTATTATTCATCAGTTTCCATCATTGTGCCTACAACTGCGCCTTTTTTTTTTTTTTTTCTTCCCTTGATCGTCACTCCTCAAGCTTCAACCTCAGCATAATACAGAAACCCTTGAATAATGGGCGTAATAAGAAGCCGCTGTGTGAACTAAGCATGTAGTTCCACTCAATACCCGATCGCCCTTTTCCTTTCCCCCCGGGTTTAAAGTTCTTGATTAATGGTGAAGTTTACCACGTGCCCTCAATGTTTCTCCCTCCACTGAATTCCTCCCCTCTCACTCGTTTCTGATGTAACTAACAGCGATAGCAATCAACGGATCAATGTGTAAGCATTTGAGACTGGAAATCTCCACTTATCCTGTTTCCCCCTTACTTTTTTTTCGAAAAACTAGTAGCATTATCCGTCAGGATTTTATTTAACCAGGGGGCTACGATCCTTGACCGTGACCAACCCCCCGAAGCGCTTCACGCCTTAAGCGTTATGCGTTACGCGGTACTCTTATGGTTTTATATTCTAGTGTATAATGGACCACTAGATAAGGTACGAATTTCAGCATTCTGATACATGTTTCTTAACCAAAATTTTACGTAAAACACGATGCACACAACGAAAATTACCGAAATTAACTCCTTACGAAGATATTTAATGATTCTTAATGCGTGAATTCAAAGCACCCGCTCATGAAAACACAATGCTCTACGTGATTCACATCGCGCGCTAAATGTTATCATGACAGTCTCTGCGATATAAAAATCTGGCAACCTTAATCTTGACGCTTTGGCTCAGTTATAGCAAATTGCTAATAGTTTGAACAACACATGATGGGAAATGAACATTGCTCGATTGAGAAGCTTGCTGAAACCGTTGTAGTGGGCGATTTGACTCACGTAGAGTTTTGAGTTTCTTGTGAGCGGGCAGTTCGAATTCCTCGTAACCAATGTGAAATAAAAACGTTAATATCTTCGTTAGGAGTTGGTTTCCGTAATTTTCGTTGTGTGAATCGTTTTCCACGTGAAATTCTGGTTAAGAAACATGTATCAGATCGCTTAAATTTGTACCTTGTCTAGTGGTCCATTGGACTACATTTTGCAATTCGGAACTATAATTTCTGCTTAATCTGTAAAAACACTTATATGCATAAGGAAACTAATGGTGCATACGTTGTTTCTTAACTTGGCCAGAAATTATAGTTCCAAATCGCCAAATGTAGTCCAATTTTTCAAGTTGTGTTGAAATTTTTTGTTTCGAGGAGAACATATATACGGCTAAGAAACAATATCGCCTATCTGCGAACGACGATTTCACAGGACGAAGATAAAAACTCGCCATTTTTTGTAATTTTACGATTAGGTTTGCAAATTATTTTATACGTCATGGCGTCATCACAGCCCTCCCATGTGGAATTGGGAAAACTATAAACATCAGCTTCCGTATTTTTTACTGTAGAATGCGGTAAAGTTGCTACCTCATTTTCGCCAAAATTGTTAGTTAGGCGGTGTTGTTCCTCAGCCATCGATGTATTGAGTAGTTTCTAGTGCTCAAAACTAAAAAAATTTGAGAAAACTTCCTTCCATCTTGACCTGTGTCATTTTTTATAAAATTCTTCAATTTGTGTATAGTGTATAGGGGCGCGTAAAGCTCCCGGCAGGGTTTGGGTAATGTATCGGCAGGGGGCGGGCCTCTTATTTTCTAACCGACCACCATGAAGTTCAATATGCTGCCAAAACGCTTACTAAATAAACCGCATGTCGATTTTTAAAGTTACCTATTGGTTTAAGTGCTGCTTTCAGAGGAGTTTTCTAATGCTTAAAACGTCACTGGCAAAGCGCACTGCGAAGAAATGTTGGTAGTAAAATCTTTTCTCCATAATTTATTTATGCTCAGTCGTAGGGACTCTATAGACGAACAGAGTTAGCTTCGTCGAATTAGAGCTCGCCATATTTCACCCCCAGTCAAAAATTGTAGGCAACACAAGACGCGAATTCACAAGCAGGTAATCATTGCTGCACAGAGGATGTTTTTTGCCTACCTCGAATTATGAAGGCGAAATAGCAATATGCGTAGCGTAACCTCCATACCCCCTCGCCCTTGACCAGTGGCGCTTTCGCAAGTCGGCAACATTGTTCTACTCCATTTAAATCCATAAAAAATATCGATTTTAGGCAAGGCAAACTGCCTCACCAAGAATCGATTGTTTTGCATACGTTTATATGGAGGAAAAACAGAGTTGCCATCTTTCAAGAATCGCCACTGCCCTTTGGCCTGCGTGTCAACACTGTCGCCTTATAATTTTCATTCAGAAAACGCCACTGACTCTTAAGATCCAGTTACACGATCAAATTGAGCCATCAAATTGGGCCTCTCATTGGTCGCATCCTCACCTCAGGTCTTTTTCCACCAATCAGAGCTTCAATTTGATGGCTCAATTTGATCGTGTAACTGGACCATAATACCTGTCTATATTGGTGACTCAGGGTCGTATGCATAGTCGTTCCTTAAACTTAAGACCTCACCCGACGTAATTCTCATGACTTAAGGGAGACTTATGACTTAAGGACATTTAAGGAACGATTATGAATACGACTCCTATACAATGATAATGTATCTACCAGCCGAACATGCCTACATAATCAAATACTCCATCATTTGTTAGGTAATGATTATAAATATTCAAACGAAGGATATGTGTTTATGATGCAACCATACATGCATATCGACGAATCGCTCGCACTACGGTACAAAGCACGCGGTAATCATTTCTGATATAGAATTCTCTTCGAGGTATTTTTAGAACGACGGATTCCC